GGGGGGGGGGGGGGGAGAGAAAAGAATCACGGAAGAGAGATTCACACGTTACCGGAACAAAAGAGGGAGAAAGCGTACACACCGCCTACAAATAAATCTAGAAAGAAGGAACTAAGCGATACAGATACCGAGACAAAAACACAGTAGAAATCCCTTATTTGTGGGATCGCTATCTGCTGATTCGCTTATCCACGGTCTGAAAATGTTAAAAATACTAAAAGAAAAAATCCAAAAATATATATTTCTAATGGTGAAGTTACCAGAACTGGCCACTAGGGGGGAGCGAGATACCATGAAACATATAGCATTTGCTGTTATAATTGCGTTTGCTATAATCCACATTTTTCGTCATCCACAGGGGTGGGAGTGGCTTGGAACCAAACCACCACAGATACAGGGGGTCCTACTGTAGTAAATCTTATATCAATATAATTTGGGCAGTTTTAATACCATTTATGCAGCAGGAATGCATTTGGGGTCAAACACTGTATTTCTTGATGGCAGAGATTTTAAAACATTTGAAAATCATTTTAAGGGTGGTTTTAATAGTGGTGTACTCTTCATTGTTTTTCAACACTGTTCCATATAATGTTTTTAATGGTGTCCTTTTAGTTGTGTGTGAGCTGCCTTTGGTCCCCATAGGGGGAAAGGTGGCATATAAATAACAAATAAGGAATGAGTGAATGAATGAATGAATATAAATAACTAAATACAGTAGGGCCTTCATATCCGTGAGGGATTGGCTCCACGTTTCCCTGCGGATGCTGAAAACTGTGGATAACAGGAAAACCTATACATATGGTCTCTGGATGCCTCTAGTGGACAGTTCTGGTAATTGTGTCATGGATATACAGTATGTATTTCTGGAGGTTTTCTTTTAATATTTTCACACCGCAGATAAGTGAATCAGTAGATACCGATCCTGTGGATACAGGGGTCCTACTGGAATGAATGAATGAATGAATAACTGTTTTCCCTTTTCAATTTCCCTATTCTTTCAGTGTGTTTTATCCTCATTTATGGTTCTTGTTCTTTTTTGTGTGGGGTTTTTTGGGGGTGTGTGCTTCTTTGATTTGCTAATTTTGTACCCATATTTGATCTAGAGGTAGATCTATATCTATATGCATGGTTGTGACAGATGCTTATAAAAATAATAATACTGTAAATGTTTTATTACAGTCCTTGACCAGCAAAGTGACAGATGCTTATAAACATGGAAGGGCCTGTAGTTCCTTCATTAAAGATGGGCTCTGTCATTTCAGAGGGCACGTGATATAGCAATGGGTGAAGAATTTTGTAAAGCTAGGAGTCCTTAAAATGACAGAAATAAGGCTGAAAGCAAAAAGAAAATTGCATTTCAGAATAATCCGAGCTAATGAAGGAAGTTCGTGGCTAGAATTTCTCTTGAACGAAACCCAAAAAACACACAATATATTCGGGGAATTACCTGATCAAGGGTGGTTTGTGATACGGAGTAGTCTTCTATGTGGTAGTCGCTCCAGTGTGCTGCCAAGACACCAAAAATTCTGGCCAGGGAGCAGCCGTGAGAAGGCAGTTGGTACTGGAGCGTGGAGTGGTGCTTCTCCTTGAGAATGATGCCCGGGAAGGAGTCCTGGATGAATTTCTCCACAGGACCTGTGTCCGGGTTGGCACCGGAGATGCGGAGGATAATGGTGTATCCATCGCCGAACCTGGACAGAGTGATCGGGGGTGGTGGGATTGAGGAGTAAAAGATGACGAGAGTAGGTGCATGAGAGCAGAAAGAGAAGAACAAAGAGAAGGAGGAGCCGACGGGGAAGCAAAAAGGTTGGTGAAGAAGCAAGCAGGAAGAATGACAGGAGAAGGAGGAAGGGGGGAGAAAGAAGGGGGGAGAAAGAAGGGGGAACAAAGGGAGAGTAGGTGGAGGGAGAGATGGAAGCAGAAGGTGGAAGAGCAAGAAGAGGAGGAAAAAGAGAAAGGGTGATAAGGACGAGAAGAAAGAGGAAGGAGGAAGGGGAGGAAGAAAAGGAGAAGAAGCAGAGGAGGGAAAGGATGGGAGAGACAAGAAATAAAAAAGGAAGAAAAGAAAGTTGAGAAAGAAGGAAGAGAAGGACAGAGGAAATCAATGAGATGGATTCGGGGTCAAGAGCAGGCTATCTTCCCCATTATCCTGTTTCCAACGGGGTCAATCTCTTTAGGAAGCTTGAGTAGGGAAAGAAGGATGGTCCAGACCATCTCTCAATGAATTTGCTTGTCTCATTGGAAGGAGGCTCATTGCACCCTCTTGTGGCAGAGAGTTCCACATGCTCATGGTGCGTGATTAACACTCTCCCCCACCCCACAGACCTCCCCAAGAGTATATGGGTTACTTGTTCTTCAAGTGTTGCACGCTCCCAAGACACTGGAAACGCCCGTTCACCATGATGGCCATCCGGGTGCACAGGGCCTCGCACTCTTCCATGCTGGTGGAAAAGAGAGAGACGAGAATGAAATTTTGAGAAAGTGACACAGCAAGCTGTATAATTTCCGCCTGGCCGTCGCTGATTTCATCAGAGCAAGTCGCAGGCGTTTTCTGGACTTGCTATGCTTGGAAAACCTGGCCCAACCTGTACATCAGAATTGATTCCCTTGGCCAGGCCAAGAGAACTTCCAAATTCGATTCCTCCATGACACCAATTTATTACAGATTTATTTTTATTTTTTTTACTTATTGCAGAAGCTTTTAGTTTACCTGAATTTTTCCACCCGGCCCACATGTCCGGTTCTACTGTGATCAAAAGCCCGTGAACAAAGGCATTCTGGCCCGTTTGTGCTTGAGCTGCTTCGCCGCAATGTAGAACAGCCAACCAGGTTATTCCATATAATACTAAATATTTTGATTTATATCAGATGCTTTCATGACTGCTGTGTGTTGACTGAGAGCCTGACTCCCTTTTGGAAGCAATTCTGGCACAAGTCTTGGAGGGGTACCTGACTTACACACACTTTACAGACGCCTAAGTGTGGCTCGCCTGGGACCAAGCCGGGCCTAGCTCTGCCCAAACTTCCTGTTCAGAAAGAAAACCTCCCAGCTAGCACTGGGGCAGGAACAGGAAGCTTGGGCAGAACTAGGCCTAGATAGGCCTCAAAGCCTTCCAGTTGAGGCCTTTCTCAAAGGTGAGCCACACTGAGGTGTCGGTCTGCCAGGTAGAAATCCCAGAATGAGGAGTTAGAGGATTTGTAGTCCAAGAAATCCATATTCTCTATGTACCTGTGAGAAGTGAGTACGACGGATCTTCCATCTTTTATCACACCGAGGATACAGTTCCACAAGAACCGTTTGGCGTGGGGATCCATTCCTGTTGTCGGCTCATCCTGGGGGCAAAGAATCTCATTTTTAAATACATACACACACAACATTTCTCCCCAAAGGGTACTATCTGAGTCAACAACTAAGAAAGAGGCAGCGTTGTGTAGCAGTTAGCGCTCCGGATCGGTGGTGGTGGTGGGAAATCAAGGCCCTGGTCTTCCTTGAGCCATGACATTCGCAAAACTTTTGTCTCTAACTGTAAGCGTACTACTTCACAGGGCAGTTGGTAAGAGAAAGAGTGAAGGGAAGCCCAACCGGGGAGTTTTAAACCCTGAGGGTCATTTTGAAGTTAAGTCTTTGAAGGTCTGAGTTCAAATCCCGGCCTGTACCAAGAAACTCACTGAGCAGCCATGGCCCAGGCATTTTTTTCATTCAGTCTGTACTACTTTACAGGGTTGGTGTTGGTGGGAGAAAAAAAACATGGACTGACCAGGAAGATGACCGGTGGGGCTCCGATGAGGGCAATGGCCGTGGAGAGCTTCCGCTTGTTGCCTCCACTGTATCGGCCGGCAGGTCGGTCCGCATATTGCATGAGCCCGAGTGTTGACAAGCCCCATTTAACCACCTGAAGGAAGAGGGGGGACGTGAGAGAGAAGAGGGGTTCAATGAGAGACCGGATCAGCACTCCGTCGCCCACTTCTACACCTGCTCCAGAGTTTGAAATGTCATTTCATCCTGCTTTAATACAATCTAGTATTCAAGATCCATTTCCTGTTCAGAATACATTTCAAGGAACTAGAACGCTAACTGAAACAGCGCTGAACAGGGTCCATTTCAACAGCATGAGGCCGACAGACCAGACCCCACGTCTCCTGATGGCCTGGTCTGCCCTGTTTTGGAGATCAGGCCTCCGTTGAGCACCACCAAACGTCCACCCGAGCATGGGCACTGTAGTACCATGATGCCAAACGGGCTGATGCTATGTGAAGTATGATTGTACCATAATTTATTTCAATGATTAGCTGTCTTTGTTTTTTTTTTTAAGAAGCCATTGGCCCCCTTAGGTCCTGCCAAGGAGGAAGGCATGGTTTGGAAGAAGGAAATAAATCTATAAGTCGCAAATAAGTCTTAATCTCCCAACTCACCCCTGGGATTTCACCCTCGGGAATGCCACGCAGGCGGCAGTAGAAAACCAGGTGTTCCCGGCCGGTCAGCAGGGGGTTGATAGCATCGAACTGAGGGCAATAGCCCATGTTTTGATGGACCTCCTGCAGGTCTTTGAGGACACTGTGGAATAAACAGGTGAAGGAAAATGAGATGCCGAGAGGTTTTCCGTAAAGGCTCAGCCTGAGAAATTGGCAGTTTTCCCCTACCAACAATCTCTCACAATAACCCTCTGGGGGTAGGCTATATTGGTATCTGACTTCAAATCACAAGGAAATCCTCACTGTTCTCTTATCAATCACCATTCAAATGTATGCATCCCTCTAAGAGCGAGGGACGTCTTTTGAAACGAGAGCCGAATTCCGAGATGGTTGGGTTTTTTTTAAAAGACCTTCTCAGTGGTCGTGTTCCAGAGGCAGGTGGGGCTTTTTAAAAATGGCAGGTTGTAGCTTCAGACTCTAAAGATAGCCTCCTACAACCTTGTAGAACAAGGGGGGAAGATATAAAAGGAAACCACAAGACTCTTGAAACTAAGGGGATGTGGCCCACTGGAGACAACGAGAGAGCCACTTTAATAAGGGCACGATTCAGCACGATCTTTTCTGGCTGTCCACAACATTTTCTGAGAGAGAGAGAGAGTTGTTTGATGCTTTTGAGAATTGGACTAGCCGACTTTGAGACTCCAAGCAGGCGTTCCACATATCCCCCCCCAAAAAAAAACCCCTAAGGGAAACCCCCAGATCACTGACCTATGTCCTTTCAGAAAAGCCTTTCCCGAAGTCACCTCCGAGTCCCCCGTCAACATTTTGAATGTCGAAGTCTTTCCAGCCCCATTCACGCCCAGGAGGCCAAAACACTGGGAATGGGTATGTTGAGAGAAAAATCACAGGCTGGCCAAAACCCTATTGGGAAATACTATACAGGTAAAGGAACAAACCTATCTGTTCTGAAGGAAATCAACCCTGAGGGCTCCCTGGAAGGACGGATCCTGAAGCTGAGGCTCCAAGACTTTGGCTATCTCATGAGAAGACTCCTTGGAAAAGACCCTGATGTTGGGAAAGTGTGAGGGCAAGAGGAGAAGGGGACAACAGAGGATGAGATGGATGGACAGGGTCACCGAAGTGACCAACAATCTGACCCAACTCCGGGAGGCAGTGGAAGACAGGACGGCCTGGTGTGCTCTGGTCCATGGGGTTACGAAGAGTCAGACACGACTTAACGGCTAAACAAAGTGTTTGCTATAATCCACATTTTTCAGCATCCATGGGGGGGGGAGCTTGGAACCAATCCTCTGTGGATAAGGGAATCCTACTGTACTTATATCCTCAATGCAACAGGGGGCAGGTTTGGTCCTCGTGCTTTTTGCTAATATAGGGAAGGGGAGAAATAAACTGGAAAGAGACGTCTGTATTTTGGATCCAAGCACCAACTGGCTTCAGGCATCCGCAGGGGAGGGGCTTAGAGAAGTAGGCGGGGCCTGCTCGCCACACTCCCCAAGCCTCATGCGGTACCTTTGTGGGCCAGATGACTGCTTTGGGCTGACATGCACAAAACCACCGGCCTCACCTCTCCTGCTGGGACTCCCAAACATAAGCGATCCACCGCTGGTTTCTTACTCCTCCGATAAACCTGTGGGACGCCATGACATGTAAATCACCTTCTACTCATGTCTCTGATCGTCCTCCCAACCTCCATCTTTCTTCAAGTTCCAACTGAGCTTCGAAAAGTTCCTTTTTTTGCAGGCACACGATTCTTCACTTGCTTTGTTCTAACAAGCGTGGATTTTTTAAAAAAAGCAAAAGCTTTTCTCCATGACTGGGGAGATTTGTGCAAGTTTCGGGATGTCTTTCATGGGCTGGATTTGAGGGGAAAAAAACTCCTGGAAGTGCCTTTTTGGGGAGGGAGTAAAATACCGTATTGTTCTGTGTATAAGACAATGCTTTTATCTAAAAACTTTAGACTAAAAATTGAGGGTCATCTTATACAGGGAAGTAAGGGGGAAAGGGATTAAAGTGCTGCAGGATCACAGCCCTTTGATCCTGCAGCCCTTTATTTGCTGCTTTACCCCTCCACTTTCTAAGATCAATGCTTCCCCCCTCCACTTCCGCCGCCATTTGATCCTGCTTTCACGGGGTTTAGGAAGTGGAGAGGGAAAGCAGCGATCAAATTTTCTTATTTGGGGTTGGAAAAGTGGGGGTCGTCTTATACATTGGGTCGTCTTATACACGGAAAAATACGGTAAGCTGACTGTTGTGGACGTCACGCAGAAAATCATCTCCCAGTGGCTGACCTATTTAGCAACAGGCCATCTCAATCTTGAGACACCCTTGCCCATCCAGGTTGAGAATGTTAGTACAGTCATGCCTCGCTTAATGATTGCCCCACTCTACGACGAAATCGCTGTATGATTAGGTTTTTACGATCACTTTTGCGACCGCTAAACAATGTTTTAAATGGTTTTTTTTCATTTAACGATGATCAGTTCCCGGCTTTGGGAACCGATTTTCGCTTTACGATGATCGGCCGCCGCCTGAATAAAATGCCCCCCCACTGTTTTCTAGGACGGATTCCTCGCTTTACAGGCACTGAAAATGGCTTGCCGTATGGAGGATCTTCGCTGGACGGTGAGTTTTCAGCCCACTGGAACGCATTGAAGCTTTTTCAATGCGTTTCAATGGGTTTTTAAAATTTCGCTTGACGATGTTTTCGCTCTACAGCAATTTCGCTGGAACAAATTAACATCAGCAAGCGAGGCACCACTGTATGTGTTACATTTCTTTCTTTTGGGAAGTACAAGACCCAGAATTCTCTACCCCACATGGTGCTGGCAGCTGCAACTCTTTCAAACCCTGAGGGAGGATGGGTCATATCAATGGTTTACACCACTTCAGAAGACAAGTGAGGGTGGAACTCATGTGTTGACCAAACGCCAACCCAAGGAAGGGACCCTCCCGTCTACTGCTGGCTCCATCTTTCCTCACCTTGGTCAGGTTTTGAAGCACTAAAATGTCGCCCCTCGGTATCCCACTGGTGACCCTTTTTCTTTCTTTGGCCACGTCTTCGTCTTCTGGCCCCAATGGGGCGAGCTTGACAGGAAAGGGCCTGGAAAGGAAAAGGAAGACGGTCTTTAGAGCAACCGAAGAGGGGTCAGGAAGTAGATTGGGCTCATTGCAGGCTTTTAAGAGTGTGATTCTTGGGGGGGGGTTTTGGTTAATTTAATCAGAGGTGTCTTATGAAAGAGTCATTCCATATAAGAGAGAGGAAAGGATGCCTCTTTGTTCTGAAATAACATTGCTTGCTTTTTGGAAGAGGCATCTGCTTCACTGTATGAGAGAAAGGAGAACCTGCCCTCTCTCTGGGAAGAGGCATCCGTTCCATTTTAATTGAGAAGGAGGAACACCTCCCTCTTCTACAAAGAAGCATCCCAACTGCTTTAAGCCCCAAAGGAGAGTCCATCTTATCTCTAGGAAGAAGCATCTCCTCCATTGTCCCAGAGCAAGGGAAATCCCTCCACCCATCGGAAGAAGCTTTCCCTACGTAACATTTTGGTGCCTGCAAATACAGAGCCGAACGAAGCACAGCAGCTGAGATGTCTTTGGGTCAGTTTTCAAGCAGAAGTGGACACTCAGCACACTAGTGTTGGAGAGAAGGGACTAAGGCGCCTTCCGGGTTTGCGGAATCAGATGTCAAAGGATCCCCGTGGTTCAAACCCCCCAAACCAAGACAGCTAAGCAGCAGAACCCCCAGGAAGTAAGGCGAAGTCTTGCCAAAGTTCAGGACTTCTGTGCTTCAAATGGGGACGAATGGGGTGAATCTGGGCCTTATCCCATCAGCATCTCTCACCGGAGGTGGATGAAAAACTTGTACTGGGCCAGGAGGGTGAAGGAGAAGAAGATCACGCCCTCAATGGCCATGGCAAACATGTTCTTCCCAGCCACGTTCCAGCTTAGCGGAGATACAAAAGTGTGGTCCCCTGGTAAAAGGAGAAAAGGAAGTGAACATGTAATGTCCTCGGTGGTGGAAAACAGATGGAAGAACCGTTTTCAAGGACTAGGCTTAATTTTTCTTTTAAAAGTACAGTAGGATCTCTGTATCCACAGGATCAGTATCCACAGCTTCACTTCTCCATGACCTGAAACTATTAAAAGGAAAGAACTAGAAATCTGTACAGTATTGTATTTTCACAATTTATTTATCAGAACTGGCCAGGAGAGGGAGCCAGAGACTGAGCTATGTATTCTTTTGCTGGAATACATAGCATTGTTCTCTGGCTCCCTGCAGTGGCCAGTTCTGGTAATACATGATGAAAATAATTTTTCTGGATTTTTTTTACCACGCTAAGTACAGTGGTGCCTCGCTTGACGGGGACAATTCGTTCCGTTGAAATAGCTGTTAAGTGAAATCCTCGTCAAGCGAAACGAAAAAGTCCATTGAAACGCATTGAAAACCCTTCAATGCGTTCCAATGGGCTAAATACCTCAGCACCCAGCAAAGATCCTCCATAAGGATGGCCATTTTCAGTGCCTGTAAAGCGAAGAATCCGTCCTAAATCACAGCAGGGAGCCATTCTGCACAACGGGCGGCCATTTTAGAGCAGCCGATCAGCTGTTTTAAAATCGTCGTCTAGTGAAAAATCGGTTCCCGAAGCAGGGAACCCATCATCGTTAAGCAATTTTTCCCCTATTAGAACATCATTTTGCGATTGCAAAAGCAATCGCAAAAACTTCATCGTCAAGTGGTTTTGTCATTTAACGAGGTAATCGTTAAGCAAGGCACCACTGTATAGAGTTTGCTGTTATCCATGGTTTTCAGCATCCGTGGGGGGCTTGCAACCCATGCCCCATGGATACAAGCGTCCTGCTGTAGATTACAGCTCCCATCATTCCTGCTGCTGCTATTCATTCCTGCTATTCATCCCATCATTCCTGCTCCCATCATTCCTGCTGTTCAGCTGACACTAATGAAAGTAGGAAAGGTTTCCGATGCATGTGAAATGTTCAAGGAATGAGTACCCTTGGCCATACATCCCAGATGCCTAGCCCCTCGCTGTGGCAGCTCAATGCTATTAAATCTACCAAAGGGCAAGGGTTAGGGGGCGGGGCTGATCCAGAATGCTTCGTTGTGCTCAACCGAATGCCAGAAAGGCCTCTGGAGCACCTATGGCGATTTGAGCCCAGCGACTGAGGCGACCACTCACCAAACCGTTCCAATGCATCCGCCATGGCTTGGTTTTTCACCATGTCAATCAGCCCGCGGCCCAGGCAGAAATGCGGAAAGATGAGGAAGGCCTTTTTCAGAATAACGTTGATCCTGTTCAAATTCTGGGTGAGGAGAAGAAAAAGGAAGAGGAGAAACACAGCCACCCCGAACGGGGACATAAGTGTTTTGCTGTATTTCATGCTTCCAAGGGGAAATTAAACATTTCTATGACCTCATTCTTGCTGGGGAGAAATGACAAACCATCTTGGGCTTTTTTAAAGCAATTTGGGACATTTTTTCCCTTTCCTTTTTTTTCTTTTTGCAAAAATTCACCAACATGCTTTATAACATTGGGGGGGGGGGTTAAGCCTGGTACACACAACACAAGGAATTTGCACAAAACCCACGGTATTTTAGGCAAGGTTTCTGATGTAAAATCCTTTTGTGTGCATGTGTCCACAAAACACTTTTGCAAATGATAACAAGGGGGGGGGGGCAAGGATGATGATGACTAAAAGCCTTATCTTTTTCTCCTGGGTTAAGAGAGCGGAGTCTCACGTTGGTTGACCAGTTTTTAAACAGGGTGCCTTGGTACGTCGGGGAACCTTTCCTGCCCAGAATAAGATGGTTATCCTATCACCTTTTAGGCTTCTCTTCACTAAATCTACCCATCTCCCTTTTTTGCTTCCTTATAGAGCCTGGTTTTTCAATCCTCTGCCACCCTCGTTCCTCATCTCTGGACCTCTTCCAGCTTGTCCTTCAACTCCAGTGTCTAGAAACACACAGAATATCACCTTAGAACTACAGAGCTGGAAGGGACCCTAGAGATCATCCGGTCCAGCCCCTGTTGAGAAGGCCCATTGGGGGAATCGAACTCCCAACCGCCGGTTCCACAGCCAGATGCCTAAACACCTGAGCCATCCACCAGCGTCACACGAGAGCGACCCTGTTTCGTTGTGAATCACTCTGAGCTCAAACCGCCGGGGAGGGGGGAAACATGACCCACAAATAAATACGAGTAGGAATGTCACCCCCAACAGCCTGAGGGCCCATACACACACACACACACACACAGCTCACCTGGTCAACAAACAGTTCTAGGACAAAGGTGGCCACACTCCCATTGATGCCGATAAAAAGATTCACGCACGTCAAGGCGACGTAAGCGGTGCTTGGGACGTTGAAGAAGAAGGAGGCCGGGTACATCAAGGGCGTTATGGACCAGCTGGCGAGATGTGAAGAGAGCGAGGGAAAAAGAAAGAGAAAATCCGTAACAATCCGAAACTGCTTAAATCTTCATTCTGATAGAGCTCTCCATCTGACTGTTCTATGACCGTGAATCCTCAAGATGTAAAAATGTACCATTCTTCCTTGGGAGACCCCCAAAACTGTTATTACAGATGTCGGATGATAACTGCCCAGTTGCTGTCCTTTTTTTAAAAAAACAAGAGAAAACAGAACTGCACCAGAGGCCTTAATCTGCATGAAACCCAGACTATTGCTGCTTTATTTCCCGGACTTCCACAGTCCTGAAGCTTTGAATGGGTTGCTTGTGTCTTTCTCAAAAATCAGCCCTTCTGTGTGCTTCCTGTGGGTGGGGGTGCTTTCCTTATCGGGAGGAAAAGATGCTTAATTATGGACAGATGTGTTTTTTTCTACATTATGGTAATCTAGATGAGGGAGAGAAACTTATTGTATCCTTCTGAGCCCAACCAAGGAGCATTGGAGAGCATTCAGAGCCTTATGGAAGGGTGTCATCTAGACCAGTGGTCCCCAACCTTTGGGCCTCCAGATGTTCTTGGACTACAACTCCCAGAAGCCTTCGCCACCACCTCTGCTGGCCAGGATTTCTGGGGGCTGAAGTCCAAGAACATCTGGAGGCCCAATGTTGGGGGACCACTGATCTAGACAGCCTGAATGGACGAGGGGAAAAAATGTAGCAAGTATTTACCCATAGAGAAGAAGCAGCAAAATGAGAGACGGGAGGTTGGCTGATGAGACGTACGATTTTTGCTGGAAGCACAGAAATATTAAAACCACCAAGACCGCCGGGACGAGGTAGTTACACTGCAGGAAGACAACAAGGTTGAATTAAATGCTTTCTGATGGCAAAAAAATGGAACACAGTATTAAAGAAGGGAACCCCAATTCTGTTTGACAGATACAGCCTCAAATTCTCCCAAAGTTTTGGCCTTTGAATGTGAGCTCTTTGATTTCCAGAGGGGAACCCATTGATTCACATCAGTGTGTTGTTTCACCTCCATGTAAGTATCCTGCTCCCATAAGATCCAGAGCTCAACGGAGGTATATTTTTATACCTTACAGCCCAAGTTCCTCCTCTTCCTCTTGAGTTCCACCCCTTCAAACAAAATGAGACGCCTTAAAGAGGCAGGTTTTGGGCTAAGCTGCTCTTCAAACAGTAAGTTGCTCGGTCTAGGATGTGATGGGCAGTTGCTTTCTATGGTTGTGTGGTTGGTTGGGTTGAGGTGGAGACGTGACTTCCAAGAAATGGTCATGAATGTGTTTGGTGGAACAAATTTCTCATCAAGTACAGAAGTTGGGGGGTCTTTTCAGATCAGCGGGGGGGGGGTTGCGTTGTCTGCTGGTGTTTGGGTCTCACTGTCTTAGCCTAATATCCAGCTCACAACAGGATTCTGGATCGTGACCCAGAGGAACCACAGAAAAAAATGGTCTCCTCACCATATCCCAGGCGAAGTTGCCGAACCAATAAACCACCGGTTTCATCCCACTGACGATCTGGAGATGCTTGGACTTGCTGATCCGTTCCTCGATCAAGAAGAGGACAAAACTGGCCGGGATGAAGGACATGGCAAATATCACACAGATGGAGACCAGCACGTCAACGGAAGTGGCCATCCTGTGCCCAGGAGAAAGGTGTCCAAAGTCAGAGAGAGAAAAGATGAATTCAACCAGCTCTGTATTTGGACAGAACATTTAATTGTCGGTTGGACAAGATCTGGCTGTTCTCTGTGCGCGCACTGGTTCACCGACCTTCTCCTGTGATGGGACTCTCCTGAGATGAATGGAAAAGCAATCTCTTGATGGAATTATAGGGGGAAACTTCCAAGGGGATAGATTAGAGGATGAAAAATAATTGGGTTGGCTTCAGTTGGTTCAACAGAAGCAGCTTTTCCTGCACTGCACCAGAAGGAATAGCAGTTCACTCATTTGCTCGGTCAAGTCTTTGGTACCAAGGCGTGAGTTTAAGTCTCAATTAAAAAATAAGCTTTTTTCCCCCTTGAAAAAATGGTGGGTGGGTGGGCTGGTTCCAAGAGGTGAGTCAAGTATGAGACATTGGAAAAAAACAACTACACTCGAGTAGAGTCCAAGCCAACAGCGGCTTAGAGATTTTAGGACAGGAAGTGAAAGAAAAGTCTTGCAACAGGAGTCAAAAGGACGAGAAGAAAACACAGGCGGAAGTCAAGGAAATGCAAACAAACAGACAGTGATCCTCTCTAGAACTCCAGTCGGTCTAAGGAAGGCTTTGCAGAAACTCTCCTTATACAGTGGTGCCCCGTATAGCGAGGTTAATCCGTTCCGGATTAACCATCGCTATTCGGAAACATCGCTAAACGGAATAGAAAAACCCCTTTGTTTAATGCATTCCAATGGGCCCCAAACTCACCGTTCAGCGAAGTTCCTCCATAGCGCAGGCATTTTCGTGCCCTTGGTAAGCGAGGGCAGGGCGTGGAAACACTGCGCGCGGCCATTTTGGGTCTTCCGGTGGCCATTTTGGAACCGCCGATCAGCTGTTCCCCCGACATCGCAATGCGAAGATCGGTAAGTGAAACACTTACCGATTGTCGCAAAGCGATTTTTGCCCATTGGAACCATCGGTATGCGATCGCATTAGCGATCCCAAAAAACGGATCGCTATGCGAATTCGTCGTTAAACAGTGGGCTCGTTATGCGAGGCACCACTGTACTGTGAAACTGAGTTTCTAACCAAAAACTATCAGGAAACCAAGATAGTTGCCTTTGGGTGCAAACTAAAGACAAGGGTTTGATCAATTAAGGGTCACCTGTATTGAGGCAGTTAATAAATTCAAATACTTAGGGGTAATTCTAAAAGCCACAGGCTCAAAGGGTTCAATGCAGTAAGTATGCAGCTGATCAAGGAGAAACGGTCGCCATTAGTATAGCAAAGTTTCACCGCTCTTAGGGAGGATTCTTTGTTCCTGCAGCTCTTAAACTCTACAAGGCTAAGATGCTCGCACAACTGTTATAGGGTTCGTTTTTTGGGGCCACCTAGTTTTCGAAGGGAAATATGGGAACGGGCCACCTGCTCGCTCGGGGTGGTAGAAACTACCCAACACTTTTTTTTTAACCTCTGCCCACCATGAGATTGCACGTAACCAGATTATTTTTCCACTGATTTTTTTTTTTAAAATCCCAAGTTGCACGGAAGAAAGCGGACTCCCGTTTCTTCGCTCAGATAAAGACCCTAAGATGACCTATTGTGTCGCACGTTTCTGCATGGGGATGATACAGTACTTAGATTCCAGAAATCAAAGGGTAGATACATTTTAGAGGTGTAGATTTTAAACTGTGGATTTTAAATGGATTTAAATTGCAAGATTTTAAACAAAGTGGCAATTCTGTTATTTTTTTTTTTTTTGCTGGAAAGGTTGGAACTCAAATCATTTTTGTTTACTGTAATTGGTCTAAGGGCTGTAATAAAAATATGTAGGTAGGAGAAACAGACTGAGAAAACATCACACCCTGGCTGTTATTAGTTGGCATTCTGGAAGACCCTACTCTATGGAACTGACGGTGCAGACCAAGCTTCTGTGACCTCAGAGCAGCCCAGCCAATCGTGGGTGAGGCGGCATTTCCCGGCCATCTCAAGCTCCTTCTGAATGCTACTCACAGGGCCACCTCTGAGAGCTGCTCCTTGGTGAGGTTGAGGGGGTGATTGATCGCCGTGATGCCGTAGCGCGCGGGGTCGGCGCCAGCTGGCAGGCTGGCCCGGAGGAATCCGTTGTTGGCCACGTTGACGAAGGAGACCATGGCGTGCCACCCTTTGTTGTTGAACCAGACCTGGAGATGACAGAAAGATGCTGTCTTGCACCACATCACAACAGACCACGTCAAAAAACTCAAAGGTTCTAGTCCTCATGGCATGATATCAAGAGAAGCATAAGAAGCCATTCAGCCCTCAGGGCTTTCATCTTTCTGTGTACAGACCGATCTCATCTTTTAAAACCTGGCCCCCCTTTCACAGATCTAACATCTTTTGCATAAACGTAATACTGTTTGTTCCATTAGAGTTCCTAATTGTTTCTAAGTACTTCTAAACTTGCCCAGACCTTCATGTTCTGCTGTGTATCCAGTCCGTCAACAAAACGCGTTAGATTGCTCAGCAACCTGTCCAGGGAGCTCCCCTACAAACAGAGAAAGAAGAAGAAGAAGAAAGAAGGATTTAAGAAGCTTCAGGTAACTAAGGGGATGTGAGGGTAACACCAGTTGTTATCTCTCAATACAGGTTCCTCTTTGTGCACCAGATAACACAACTGATGGGTGATAAGGAACACACATCAGGTTTTGAGCCTGTGGCTGTTCACCACTGAGGTCCATCCGTCTGTCCCACCCACCCACACACCCACCGTCCAACCGTCCAACCGTCCAACCAACCAACCAACCGTCCAACCAACCAACCATCCAACCAACCAACCGTCCAACCGTCCAACCGTCCAACCATCCAACCATCCACTTATAGGCTGCCTTTCGCACAATAAGGGAACTCAAGGCTTATATACAACACTTTACTTATACTTGCCTATGTAAATAATGGATTTTGCAGTGGTGTTAGGTGAATCTAATTCCGGAGGAGCTGTGGATCCACTCCAGGTTTTAGTTCGCACTTTCCGAGAATCATCTGAAGTGCGGGACCTATTATGAGGACAGGGCTCCTCCCCTTGGAGAGCGGCTGTAAAGTCTAAAACCTGGACTAGAGTCACAGCCCGCCAGAAGTGTGTCAGATTCTGGACCTCTGAACCGAACAAAAGGGCTGAAGAAAGTGATTAAAATTGGTTTGGAGGCAACCCGGAGGAGATGGCCCTTCTTAGTGCCAGCCCCCCAAACCAGCCTCACCTTTGGAATGACAACGAAGCTGCGGATCTCCTTCACAATGGCTGCCACCTCTTCTGAGGACGGTAGAACCAGGGACGTGCGGGCACCCAGAGAAAACCCACCATACCTTGAGGAGAAGGGTGGGAAAGTTCCCTCTTATTCAGGCATGTAATATAAAGCCAACTTTCTTAAAGTGTCTTTGCTTGCCACCAAGACTCTCCAAAGACCAGTCCCGTAAAATTACACCAAAGATTTAAGATTTTCTGGTTTGGAAAACAGGGAGTATCCTGAAATGTGGCCTGTAGAAGGCCTGTCCTGGTTTGAGTGGAATCACCTCCCCGAGGCAGTTCTTCCTTTTAAAATAATATTAAGAACACATTTTAATGTTTAAAAATTTTTTTAATCTTGGGGCACTCAGAGGGAGCCCCCGCTGAAATTATCTCAGGGGAGTCCTGTTGTTCACCACCTAGAATATTAGGAATACAGTGGAGCAGGAGAGATAAGGTAACCGCTTTTTTTGAAGATTTTGTGAAGATAAGCTAGATCCATGGATTTATCATCCTGGTTCTGTCGGAGAACAGCCCCCCCCCCAAAAAAAGCTAGCAAGAGCTCCAAAAATCTCTTGCAAACATGTCCGATCACGTCACACCCTTTTAAAGCAGAAACGCCGCTTACCGCTGTTCATTTACCCATTTCTTGCTTCCTAACCTAAAATAACGAAAAGAAGACACCGTCAGAACGTAAGAATTGGCAAAGCAAGGTTCGAGAAGCTTCCCAGCCAGTGTTAAGTTTATGAGAAGCATACACACTGAAGAAGAGACATCATCTCATAAAGAGGAATACGGGAATGCTTCATTTTAAAAAAGGGGGGTTCCCCAAAAATATAAAAGATGGGGATTTATTCTGGAAGCATACACTTGCTAGTATACAAGCACATGTTAGAAAATGTTACAAAGATGGGTCCCCCTATGCATAAGAGAGATGGAAATATCTCTCATTGCCTCGTTTATAATCTTAGAACGGCAGAGCTGGAAGGGACCCTCAAGATCATCTAGTCCAGCCCCTGTGGGGGATTCAGACTCCCAACCTTTGGCTTCGCAGCCAGAGATCTCCGCCCCTGAGCTCTCCCGCCGTTCTGGAGGGGGATGCCTCATTTTAGAAAGAGGCATTTTGTATCGTAGAGAAGAGAGGAGAATGTCTTCTTTCATCTATCCTAAATTGTGCTGTGGGGGGGAGGCAGAGCTTACCCCTTGCGGATAATTGTGGGGTAGGTTTTCACTAAGTAGTCAGAAATGTTTCTGCCCGTGAGGTTGGACAGGATATCCCCCGTTTTCATCCGCATCTGGAACAAAGAAGAGGTGGGACGGTGGGTTGCACGTTCTTGCTCCTTGAAAGTTTGGAATCAAACCCGGAAGGTATTTACTGAGGCTTCAACGCCAGCTTCCATGGTGCTGGTTTTATTGGGGAATATGGAGGGGGGGTTGATGTGTTTACCTGAGGAGGGGGAAGACCTCCAGCCGCTTCCGGACAGTCCGGCAACATCTTTCGGGACCCTCCTGAGCTACACTGGCATTCCGGAGAGGGATTGGCGAATGTCCAGTTGCCCGTTTGGAAAATCTCCGCCACGGATGCTGGGACTTCCGGGACCTTGAAGCCGGTCTCGTGGGAAGGCGGCGGATGGCACGGATCCTTCCTGAAGCCCTCAAGAAAAGCACAAGATGTGGCTTTGGTCAACCGCTTCTCCTAAAGGTGACCCTGGAACATGCTCAATTTCATTCTGGCTTTGGAAGTTGAGGACTCTGATCTTGTTCAGTGGAGACCAAACGAAATTTAGAAATTTTGAAAACAATCCACATGCCGTTTTGAAGGATTTGCACCCAGTTCTGTCTTTTAACTGTGCCCTCTACCGGGCTTCAAAACATTGAGGAAGGCCTGCAGCTATCCGGCAGCATCTCGGAGGCACGAGGACTTCCCCAGACATTGAGCTGCCTGAGGCAAATACAGTGGTGCCTCGCTTAACGAGCGCACCGTACAATGACGAAATCGCATAGCGATCCCTTTTTTGGGATCACTAATGCGATCGCTCAACGACATTTAGAAAGGGCGAAACTCGCTTTGCGAAGATCGGCAAGCGTTTCGCTTACCGATCTTCGCAAAACGAAGCCCCAACGATCAGCTGTTTGGCGGACAAAATGGCCGCCGGAAGCCCCAAAATGGCCACGCGCAGCGTTTTCGCGCCCTCCCCTCGCTTAACGAGGGCGCAAAAATGGCTGCCGGCCATAGGAAGCATCGCTGAACGGTGAGGTTTCGGCCCATTTGGAATGCATTAAACGATGTTTAATGCGTTCCAATGGGCTTTTTTGATCCGTTCAGCGATGTTTCACTATAGTGAAGGTTAATTCGGAACGGATTAACCTCGCTATACGAGGCACCACTGGTACGAGAAAACCATTCCAATACACTCGATCCCAGACAGAGAAGCCAACCAGACCGAGGGGGGTCCAATTCACCCCTATTTTAACCACCTCTTTATCCAAAGAGAAAGGGACCACATTCCAGAGAACAAGGGTTCCATTTAACATCTAGCGGGGCCATTAGAAGCCTAGATGGTCTCGTGACTATAATGCCCATCAGCTCTAAGACCATATAGCCGGATAACAAGGCTCATGGTAAACGTAGTTCTTAGAGGGTCCTCAGTTTTGGAAATGTCTGATCTAGGACGTCCCTAAGGGACCAATTGAAACACAGGCTATGGGATGGCCTGTGCATTGGAACGCCAGAAGGTTTATTGATGGGTTGCACAATGCTTCATGGGCCCTTTTTGCCACCTCATGGCCTCTACCGCCTGAGGCAGCTTCTTCCTTCCCCTCAAGAGTAGGGCTGGCTAACCCAAGAGGGCCAAAGGAAGCGCCCCCCAAGGTTGAACGAGATGCTGTTCTGACACACTCACAGGTTCGTCTCTTCCTTAAGGCACTTGGTGCCAAATCCAGGGTCGCCGAGCAGAGCGTCCAGGACCCGGGACGAGTCCTGATCCCTGGGTGGTGAGTCGTCACTGTGAGGAGGAATGAAATAAAGGTGGTCTTCATTATTTATCCCACCGGGTTGGTGGAAGGCAGCCGTGGGAGACGGATCAGGGACCCACTCGGTTGCTTTCGAGCACTAGCCATTGGGTATGAGTCCATGAATGGCAGTAGGGTTCAGGGGTTAAAGCCGTGGTGAGAATCACAGAGCCCATGCCCCTCTTAGAATTCCCCTCCAATTCTAGCCACCCCCTCCCCCGAAATTAGCTGGAAAAAAGAATTATTTCAAGTCACAAGCCGTATTTTATTTGCTTATTGATGTCTTGATTCGTTGGTTTATTAGGAAAGCTGATCAGAGTCATGGAACGGACAAGGACTTCTTCCAAGGGCTGGAACATCCCAGACCATACCTGAAAAAGGTGAGCTGGGGCCCGTACATCCAGGGATCGAGACGCAAGGGTGGATACTTGCCGAATGGGGGAACGATCAAGCTGAAGAGGAGGGCGATGCAAACAAAAATGGCCGGAAGCACAATCTGGGGGAGAAAAACAAGAAGAGACCACCACGGGCATCTGACAGAGATCTGCTCCTCTCTGTTTCCCAAAAACCCATTTTAAACGCATGGAAGAGGACAACACCACCATACCTGAGCAAAGAACCCCCTTCTGCTCCGCGTGGCGTACAGGAATCTCTTCGTAAAAAGCGCACGGAGTTGCTGTACTGTCAGGTCCCAGCCTGTCAACCGGTGAGAAGCTGGCCCACCACCACCACCACGGAGGAGATCTGTCTCCTTTGCTTCTTCCGCTGTTGGAAGAGGGAAGAAGGATCACCAGATGTGGGTCTGCAAGACTCAGAGACAGACTGGCAGCATGACTCGAAACATGCAGGGGAGGAGGTATACGGCTCAGAGAGTGTGGCCTCATCAGAGGGCAACATGGAAAGCTTGGCCTACCTCACAGGGTTGCAAGGATACATTTTTTGGGAGGACAGGGAGGAGAATTGTGTAACATCCCTTTAATGCAATGGCCAGACAGTTGGTGGTTAGTTACACAAGTGTAAATGTAATGGTGTAAACTGCAGCAGTGAATTGTCCCTAGTTAATGAGTCAACGCTCGTGCCACTAATTAATGAGTCACTACTCATGCCAATAATTAGTGAGTTGCTGTTCATGCCACTAGTTAATGAGTCAATGCTCATGCCACTAGTTAATGAGTCACTACTCATCCCAATAATTAGTGAGTCACTGTTCATGCCACTAATTAAAGAATCACTGTTCATGCCATTAGTTAGCAAATCACTGTTCATGCCACTAGTTAATGAGTCAATGCTTGTGCCACTAGATAATGAGTCACTTCTCTGCCCCTGGTTGTGCACCAGTCACAACCAGTAGCAACTAATAACTAATAACCAACTAAAAGCAATTCACAGCTATAATTTACAGCGTATGAAGTGGTATCATTGACAAAGAGTATTCTGACTGCTGAAAAAAAGGAACAATAAAAAAATAATTCCAGAAAGAGATAAAATGATCTAGTATAACAGAATACCATATTAAGGTTGAATCTTGCAGTACTGGGTTTAGTTACTGGTCAATGTTTAACTCCATTTCTTTTATACTTTATTTGACACACATTTGCTGCTTTTCCTGTTGACAAGAGGAACAAGGGCTGCCCGCCCTGAGGAAGATGGAACTGAAATGTAATTTATAAGGTGATCAGATGTAGTTAGACTTCCCTCCTGCTCCCTTTTCAGGTGGGGGCGTAGAAAACGAGGCTGCTTTCAAAAATTTAGAAATTTGCATAGGAGGGATACAAATATCGGTACATCGTGATGGGTACAAAAGGTCATTCCCCCTTCAACTGCTTTACCTTTCTTACGTCCTTTGACTGCATGCAAAGAGGGAAGTGGAAAGAAAAAGAGAAGGGAGAGAAAAGGGTTAAGGTTGCCCCACAGACATTCTAGCTTTAACCTGTTGCGGTGTAGAATTCCTTAGAAACATGCCAGGAGGCATATTAAGATGTGAGGTATCAGGGAACCATTTATTAATGCCAGCAAGGAAATCAATACTGTCGGGCCCCTATATCTACAGGATCAGGATCTGCGGTTTCACTGATCCGCAGTATAAAAATAATGAAAATATTAAAAGAAAAAGAAAAAGAAATATATTTTCAGGATGTGTTTATTAGAGCTGGCCACTAGAGGGAGCTAGAGACCATGCTATGTATCCTGGTTTTTGAAGAATACATAGCATAGTGTCTGGCTCACCCTAGTGGCCAGTTCTGGTAATGAGGTATCAGGGAACCATTTATTAATGCCAGCAAGGAAATCAGTACTGTCGGGCCCCTTTATCTACAGGATCAGGATCTGCGGCTTCACTGATCCGCAGTATAAAAATAATGAAAATATTAAAAGAAAAAGAAATGTATTTTCAGGATGTATTTATTAGAATTGGCCACTAGAGGGAGCTAGAGACTATGCTATGTATCTAGAGGGAGCTAGAGACCATGCTATGTATCCTGGTTTTTGAAGAATACATAGCATAGTGTCTGGCTCACCCTAGTGGCCAGTTCTGGTAATACCTGAGAAAATATTTTTTTTCTGGAAAGTATTGTCATGCTATGTATGCTGTTTGTTATTATCCGTGGAAAAATTCAGATCATAGTGAATGCTATTTTAATAGCAAACTTTATATACTGCACTGCCTCTGGCTTCCTCGAGTGGCCAGTTCTGGTAATGACATAGTAGAAATATATGTCTCTATTGAACTCTATACATTGCATGGTCTCTGGCTTCCTCTAGTGGTCAATTCTGTTAACTTCAATGTATTCTCAAAGATTTTCACAGTCGGGATCTGATGGTTGTTGTAGGTTTTTCAGGCTGTTGGGAACCTACAGTGATTTCGCTGGAATGAATTAATGTCGTAATGCGAGGCACCACTGTACATAGCATTGTCTCTGGCTCACCCTAGTGGCCAGTTCTGGTAATACATGAGAATTTTATTTTTCCTGGAAAGTATTGCCATGCTATGTATGCTGTCCGTTATTATCCGTGGAAAAATTCAGATCACAGTGAACGCTATTTTAATAGCAAACTTTATATACTGCACTGCCTCTGGCTTCCTCGAGTGGCCAGTTCTGGTAATGACATAGTAGAAATATATGTCTCTATTGAACTCTATACATTGCATGGTCTCTGGCTTCCTCTAGTGGTCAATTCTGTTAACTTCAATGTATTCTCAAAGATTTTCACAGTCGGGATCTGATGGTTGTTGTAGGTTTTTCAGGCTGTTGGGAACACATTAAAACAGCCCAAAAAACCTACAACCACCATCTATTAACTTCAGCTTTAAAAATCCATATTTCTAGGGTTTTAAAAAATGTTTTTAATAATTTCAACGCGTGGATAAGTGAATCAGTGGATACTGATCTCACAGATAAGAGGGTCTTACTGGACCTCAGAAGCTACAATGAGGAATCGCCTCACTGGAGCATTTATACTTCTAAATTTTATACAATGGCAGCTTTCTGAATTCACAGCCCAGGTTTCCAAACAGTGAGCGAAGGGATGACAGAGGACAGGATGAACAGAAGGAAATCTGGCTTTGAGGAGACCTCAAACAAAGGAGAAATAAGACTTGCTTGATCTTCCATGTGATTGCCCTTCAAATATTTGAAGACGGCTCTCATTCGCAATGTTTCGTCATGACATAAAAATGACTCCCCTTGAAAGCCAGAGTAGAGAGTTGTAAACAAAATCATACCTCTTTGTTCTACTATCCTTTACTTACCTGGTTCGGCATCGGCCACCTCCACCTCTTCACCCAGTGTCCGGAGGGTGTATGCAGAAGCTGGAGTTGACGTCCTCAGAGTCGGTGGAGACCCTGTTGGAGGGAAAGAGTAATTAACCCCTAGACACCAGCTCCTACCCACTGCTTCTGGAGGAGTCCACCAGCATTTCTGGGAGGGGGCTAGGAAAAGGTGAAAGGCAGCAGGAAAAGAGGAAGACCCCAATGTGAGATGGACTGGCTCCATAAAGGAAACCATGACTTTTGAGTTTGCACGAGCAGAGCCAGGCTGTTCAAGGCAGGATATTTTGGTGGTTACTTATTCACCAGGTTGCCACAAGTCAAAGGTGACATGATAGCATAGATAAATAACATTATGTTTAAAGAGTGAGGACATTTCTAGTTTTCATCAAGGAGGCACATGTCTCCGGTGGAGTGCCCACCTCTGATCCACTGTTAATCACGCCTTTCTCATACATACAAATGTTAGAAAAATGGCTGTAGTCCTCTTAAAGTCAGTTAATTCAAAACAAGAGAGAGAGACCCAACAGGAAATACCTCAAGGGGCAAAACGCCATTCTCCAGGGACCCAAGCTTTTCCCAACGCATCCATACCAGCATCAATTTACACCCCCCTGGTGTGATCCAGTACTGGTCATTTCCAGAGCAACAACCTGAGAGTTACCTGGGGAATCTACACGGGTGTCCTCGGCCACCTTTAAGAAGATCTGGAGGGGAAAAATCAAAAGCAAGCTGAGTTCTCAATAACATAAAAACATTTTCGGCAACACGATCCGATTCTGATCTTCCCTCTTCTTTCTCCAAATCAGGAGCCGGCCACATGTCCCCCTCTGTTCAACACGAGTTAGACTTCATCTTGAATCCTGTGCTCCAGTTCTGGACACACCACTTGAAGAAGGATGTTGACTTGAAAGGTAGGCTTAGAGAGGAGGGACAGGATCTGTTCTCGATCATCCCTGAGTGCAGGACATGAAACAATGGGTGCAAGCAACAGAAAGCCAGGTTTTGGCTGCATATCGGGGTGGGGGGGGACTTCTTAACTGTTAGAGCAGTACAACAATGGATTTCATGACTACAGGAGGTGGTGAGCAACCCAGTACTGGAGGTATTCAAGAGACAACTGGAACACCATCTCCCAGATCCGCTTCGACTTGGGTTACTGCATTGAGAAGGGGGTTGGACTGGATGGCCTTAGAGGCCCCTTCCAACTCCACTGTCCTATGATTCTAGAGTGGCCCTTAATGAGTTGCAGGGGATCCATAACCAGATTATCACCCAGTCTTGCTTCCAGACCAGCCATAAATGGAGACATGATTCCCAAACAGCACAGAGGTTAAAGGAGGGAAACCAGTGAAGGAAGAAATGGCACCACTGAACTCTTCCAAAGTTTACCTCTTCCAAGCTGGTGTCGGAAATACCGTATCCGGAGACCCCAAGTTCGTTCAGATGAGCGTCTAGTTCCCGGAACAGCCCCTCAAAGGCGCCATCTTTGGATCCACCATAGGGCAGGACGTAGAGCAGTTCTTGACCTATATCTTCCACCAGCCGAGAGCCAGGGGCCAGCTTTTGGATCAGAGACGTCAGCTGGGTCACGTCTGTAGAACAGCAGAAAGATTCCATGGAGCATGTTGTAGACCAGACAGCTAAGATGGTGGGGCTCAAAACCCTTCTGTTTTCTCTTCACCCAGCTCAATTTGAATAGTCCTGATGTGAACCCTCAAGCTCTCCTTACCAACAGAGGTAGCCTCGCTGTTCTGTTCACTCCCCAGCCCGGTGTCGCAGCTTATTTCTGAGTCGCTGTCAGCCTGATTGGGGTGGGGGAAAGCAAATGTTAAAGTTGGAACTGGAAGTGGTGATTCGGACGTCCCGGCGGTGTGGAATGGGCTCCTGGTTTTAGCCTGAACTTTAAAGGAGCAACTGAATGGGCTGAAACTGTTTGGAAGATGAAGTTTGGCACCATGGATAGCTCACATGGAAAGCCAGGCAGATGGAGCTCTCCACAGTGCTGAACTTTAGACTTCCAATGGTCTCAGTACCATGGACAGGTCATTGGAAAGCCATGGCCAGAAATGAAGACGCTGAGCTGTATCCACCAATCAGCTTCGCTTATGTTCGGACTGGAATCCAGAGGGGTTTACCATTCCCTCAGCGTCAAAGTCACCAACCCAGAGAGTCTGGATTGGGCCACTGAACTGAGAGAGAGTCCTAAGAATCATATCGACACCACCGCTTCCTCTCTCTGGGTAGGGTAAATCAGGAAAAATTGAAATGGGGCATGGAATCACGTAAAGCCATGTGGTTGGGACATGAGATATCCAGGTTCAAGTCCAAACTGAAGGATGAACCCTCTTGCATGTCTTTCAACCAACCACTTTTTTCTCAGAAATGTCTACCTCCCAGTGTAGTTGTGATAAAAAGGAAGACAGCCATGCGCCAACCTGAGTCCCTCTGAGGAAAGGCAGGATGATACGCAAGAAATTTGTGGGAAAGGCTTAAAAAGCCATTTAATCAGCTGTTCCTGCTGTCCTTATTATTGCTTGATAAATGCAATGTTTTATTGTTATACAATATATGCAAATATTGTACATTAGAGATGAAGAATGGCCAAACAAAAATACTAGCTAATAGTTTTTGGACTTTGCGTTATTACTTCTTGAGCCGGAGAGAACCTCATTCTGGATTTTCAGTGTCACAGCCATGGGGCTGGGAGGGAGATTTGGGTGCAAATCCCATCTCGGTTGCGGAGATCCTTAGAAAAAAAAACAGATCCTATATACAGAAAATTAATAATGAGGGATAAGAGCATTGCGACAGCCATGCGCCAACCTGAGTCCCTCTGTGGAAAGGCAGCATTGGTCTGGGATTTGAGAGATCCCTCCATGGTGTTATGAACATCATGGGATCCGGTCACTTTCTCCTTCCTTTCTGACCCACCTCACAGGGTTGTGGTTAGAGACAAGATAACCCTGGATCCTGGGGGGCAGGGATGAGCTAAGAGGTCTATATGGCCAAGAAATAACCAAGAGCTCTCCATGTTCATCTTCCTCCTCGTACCTTTCTGTTCGTAGAATTGACGCCATTCGGAGCAGCCCTGCCCGCCTCCCGCTTCACCAGGGTCAGGTAGTAGCCGGTGCCCAGCTTGGTCTTCAGGAAGAGGGAGGAGCCGCAGCAGCAGAGGCGGCCCTGGGAGATGATGGCCACTCGGTCGCCGAGCAGATCAGCCTCCTCCATGTAGTGGGTGGAGAGGATGACCGTCCGACCTGGCGGAGCCAAAGAAGAGACACACACAGAGAGAGAGAGCAGCTGAACAAGCAGTGTGGAATCCCAGAATTCCCTCCCTAAGCTATAAATTCCTCGGCTTTCCGTGAAATAATCCATGGAGTCTCCAAATCCTGCAAGGTAGGGGTCGCCTTCTCTTTGGCACTGGTTAAGGCTACTCTGTCTGGTTCTTTAAGAAGGATGCCGGCAAACTGGAGCACATTCTGAGGAGGGCAAGGAGGAGGATCAGGGGAGCTGGAAACCAAGCCCTAGAAGGAGGAAAATGGAAAGAACTGGACCTGTTTAGCCTTGAGAAAAGAAAATGGAGGGGAGAGAGGAGAACATTCTTCAAAGACTTGAAAGGATGTTCTACAGAGGAGGGGCAGGATCCATTCTCCATCATCCCAGAGTGCAGGACATGTCATAATGGGCTCAAGCAGCAAGAAGCCGGAATTTCGTTGAATATCAAGAAAATTTTCCTAACTGTTAGAGACGTACAGCAATGGAATGACACTGCAGACATTCAACAGAAATGTAGACCACCATCTGGCAAATATCCTTTGATTTGGATTCCTGCCTTGAGCAGGAGGTGAAACTCAGTGGCCTTACAGGCCCCTTCGAACTTCATTATTCTATGATTCTCTAGAAGTTCAGATCTTAGCACCACTTCATACCGTTTCTTGTGGTAGAATTGACGCCATTCGGAGCAGCCCTGCCCGCCTCCCGCTTCACCAGGGTCAGGTAGTAGCCGGTGCCCAGCTTGGTCTTCAGGAAGAGGGAGGAGCCGCAGCAGCAGAGGCGGCCCTGGGAGATGATGGCCACTCGGTCGCCGAGCAGATCAGCCTCCTCCATGTAGTGGGTGGAGAGGATGACCGTCCGACCTGGCGGAGCCAAAGAAGAGACACAGAGAGAGAGAGAGAGAGAGAGAGAGCAGCTGAACAAGCAGTGTGGAATCCCAGAATTCCCTCCCTAAGCTATAAATTCCTCGGCTTTCCGTGAAATAATCCATGGAGTCTCCAAATCCTGCAAGGTAGGGGTCGCCTTCTCTTTGGCACTGGTTAAGGCTACTCTGTCTGGTTCTTTAAGAAGGATGCCGGCAAACTGGAGCACATTCTGAGGAGGGCAAGGAGGAGGATCAGGGGAGCTGGAAACCAAGCCCTAGAAGGAGGAAAATGGAAAGAACTGGACCTGTTTAGCCTTGAGAAAAGAAAATGGAGGGGAGAGAGGAGAACATTCTTCAAAGACTTGAAAGGACGTCCTACAGAGGAGGGGCAGGATCCATTCTCCATCATCCCAGAGTGCAGGACATGTCATAATGGGCTCAAGCAGCAAGAAGCCGGAATTTCGTTGAATATCAAGAAAATTTTCCTAACTGTTAGAGACGTACAGCAATGGAATGACACTGGAGACATTCAACAGAAATGTAGACCACCATCTGGCGAATATCCTTTGATTTGGATTCCTGCCTTTAGCAGGAGGTGAGAATCAATGGCCTTACAGGCCCCTTCCAACTTCTATGACTCTCTAGAAGTTCAGATCTTAGCACCACTTCCTACCATTTCTTGTGGTCTTCTCGAGTCCTGGCCGGTGAAGACTGAGTCTTCACGACTGAGGCACCCCCTTATCTGGAACGGTTCCCCAAGAACACAGATTGGGCTGATTTCTAGTCGACAGCCAGGACGGTTTTATTTAAATAGATTTTCCTCTGTGCACACAGCACTCACTTGCTAGAGCGCGATTCAGTTTTCAATTCAAATCCAAATTACCATCGAATGGGAAACGGGCTCATTTTCACATTTCCTACCTGGTCGGTATTTCAGGAGAAGCTCCCAGATGCCTCGGCGAGAGTAAGGGTCGACCCCGGCTGTGGGCTCGTCCAGAATCACCACCTTGGAGCCCCCCACAAAGGCAATGGCCACCGAGAGCTTGCGTTGCATGCCACCTAGACCATAAAGAAAGAAGAAGGACAAAGGAAAACACAGTTTGAAAAAGCGTTTTCACCCTGGTTTTAATTTTGAGGATGAAAGAGGCAGAACTGCTGGAGAACTCTACGGAGCTAAAGGTTGGGAGTTCGATTCCCCCATGAGGCGTCCTTGACAAGGGCTGGACTGGATGATCTCAAGGGCCCCTTCCAGCTGTTCTGAGATTATCATATGATCTTTTTGCTTCATTTTATAAAATCAAGCAAAGGAGCCTATCATTTTTTTTAAAGCCCTGGAAAGTCGGAAAGGAGAAATGGCTGTTTCCTCTATATTTCACATTCTGCATTTAAAGATTTTACACAGGGTCAGCATAATCCCAGGAAGATCTCAGGGTGGGATCCTGTCCTGGCTGAATTAGGCCCTTTTGAAAAAAGGCCCCTAAAGGACATCACCACCCCATTGAGTGAGTTTCTCCCGATGTTTCAAATGACTCACCCGAGAGGTTCTTCGTCGGATCCCGTCGCTTGTGGGGCAGCCCCACGTCTTGTATAATCTGCTCCGTCTCGTCTTGGACTTCCTGCTCGGAGAGACCCTTCAAACGTCCATAAAACCATATGTGTTCCTCAACTGTAAGGCTAGAGCAAATGGGAAAAGGCAGGGCTGGATTAATTGCAACGCTAACGATGTCTCGGGGCAAACACCATCGAAATCTGACGACGTTGCTGGAAGTCCGAGCTCGCTGCTGCCTTATCTGCCCCGTAAGTGTCCTGCCCCCTTTTGTTTCTTCTCTTCTCCACACCATTACCTGCAGCTTCCCCCCAACCAAAAAATATCCTTACATGTCAAAGAGAACATTGTGTTGCGGGCACATTCCCAATGTCTTCCGGATGATGTCCATTTCAGAACAGATGTCCCTTCCCATGAGATAGGCTGTTCCCGAGCTTGGAGGCAGGAGGCCCGTCAAAATTGACCTAAGATCACAAGTTGGTAGGCGGAACAAAGGGAGGTAGAAACGGGGTAGAGTGGGGAGGAAATAAGCAAATCAAGCCATTTTCTATGACATGAGGAACAACCTCTAGAAGTAAGAGAAGTGTCAATAAAGACCAACACCCTGAAGATAATGAAGCATACAGGACAGACTGTGAACTTTGATGGGTGTTGGAAGAAATTTCAGAATTCATAGACTACGGACCCCAGACGTCTCCCATTCTGATGGCTTGAGCCAAACAACAACAATAACAACAACAACACACACACACCCTTTTCAGCTGCCTGTAATCATTTTCAGCTGAGAAATAATGGCTTCTTCTTGACATGATGAAGATGGAGGAAATGGCTCAGTGGGGCTAAGTTCCATGGGAGATGCAAGGTGTTATGGGACCTCTCACTAAATCACCAGACCCATAACACCTTGCAGCTCTCATGCCACTTAGTCCCATTCAGCGACTTCCTCCATCTTCACCATGTCCAAGAAAAGCCATTATTTCTCAGCTGAAAATGATTTCAGCCACCCACAGGAACTGGGGTTCTGTTCTGTTGTGGAGTTCTGTTTTTGTTTTCCCCAATGTATTTTAATACTGTATTTTTAATGATGTAAGCTGCCTTGGGTCCCTTTTTAAGGAGAAAGTTCAGACAGACAGATAATTTGGGGAACTGTAGTCCTTGAAGTCCATAAACCTCATGTCTACCAAGTGCTTCATCCTTCATTTCATGAACCTCTCTTTCATCCTCTCTTCCACCCCCAAGCTTCATCTAAAGCCCCCGTTCCAAGCCAGCATCAGCAAACACGAATCACAACCTCCCTGCTTTTCTTTCTGCCCCAGACTCACATCGTGGTGGTCTTGCCAGCCCCATTGTGGCCCAGAAAGGAAGTGATCTGGCCTTCGTAGAAGTCCAGACTCAGACCATTGATGGCAATTTTGCGGCTGCTGTGATAGATCTTCACCAGGTTGCGGATGGAGACGCCCACCTTCAGGTGAGCCGGTGGCTCCTCCACCAGAGCTGAGGGAGGAAGGGAAGAAAAACAGACCGGTGGTTCAGATGAACCATTCTGCATCCATTTTTTTTGATTCTTCTTCTTCTTCTTTATTGAGATAACGCTTCCAGCGTGTGGGATGGTTTCCGGAGCAGAAGGGAACAAGCTGCGATCACAGTAAACCTACCATTTTTGCTGCTCAAGAGTTTTTCATGAGCTTCTAAGGCAGGAAAAGAAAGGAAATTCCGAGGCTGGAATCTTATCAGGCATTTATGCCACATGAAGTGTTAATTGTGGAAACGGCAGTGGCGAGTTACAGTAGGAACCTCATATCCACGGGATCCGCATCCGCGGACTCACTTATCTATGCTCTATTAAAAATATTAAAGGAAAAATCCTAGAAATGTATATTTCTGAGATAAAGTCTCCAGAATGGACCACTAGAGGGAGACAGAGACCATGTACAGTGGTGCCTCGCTTAACGATTACCTCGCTAAATGATGAAATCACTTGACGATGAGAACCTCGCTAAACGATGAAACCACTTGACGACGAGGTTTTTGTGATTGCTTTTGCGATCGCTAAACAATGTCCTAATAGGAAAAATTTGCTTCACGATGATCGGTTCCCTGCTTCGGGAACTGATTTTTCACTAGACGGCGATTTTCAAACAGCTGATTGGCAGCTGTAAAATGGCCACCCGCTGTGCAAAATGCTCCCTGCTGTGCTTTAGGATGGATTCCTCGCTATACAGGCACCAGAAAATGGGCGCCCTATGGAGGATCTTCACTGGACACTGAAGGGTTTTCATTGGAACGCATTGAAGGGTTTTCAATGCGTTTCAGTGGGTTTTTAAAATTCGCGTGACGACGATTTTGTTTAACAGCGATTTCGCTGGAATGGATTAATGTCGTCAAGCGAGGCACCACTGTATAGTTTTTCAGCATCCATGGGGCACCAGAAAATGGGCGCCCTATGGAGGATCTTCACTGGACACTGAAGGGTTTTCATTGGAACGCATTGAAGGGTTTTCAATGCGTTTCAGTGGGTTTTTAAAATTCGCGTGACGACGATTTTGTTTAACAGCGATTTCGCTGGAATGGATTAATGTCGTCAAGCGAGGCACCACTGTATAGTTTTTCAGCATCCATGGGAGGCTTTGAATAGAATGGATTAATGTCGTCAAGCGAGGCAGCACTGTATAGTTTTTCAGGATCCATGGAAGGGGGGGCTTTGAATAGATCCTCCGCCGATATGGGGGGGACAGTACCACTGGACCACAAATTAAGGAGGGCTGGTGGTACCCCGAATCCGTGCCAGTCCACCAGGATTCCAGCTGATATGCAAGAGGAAAAGAGGAAAAGGGAGAGAGGGAGAGAAGTGGTGGAAGGTTAAATATTTTCCCAGTAACCCATCCTAGGTGCTTGGCAATGGGCAGACGGTGGAACACCTACCTCTCAAAAGAAAAGATAAAAATTAAAATGGAGGAGTTCGCTAATGAAGGAACAGAGGCTCTATTTCTATTCCCTCAGGATCACTGAATTTCTGTTAGTATCTAACAAGGTGGGGGGATCTATAATGGGGTGAAGACAAGTCGGGAAAAGTGTAAAGTTACCTTCAGTGGAGTGAAGCGTATTCGTGGGAATAGGGTGTGGATAACCATCTTTAGAAGATTCTCCAAACCAGTAGGTCTTTAGGAGGGGAAAATTCCAAGGTTTAGGAATGCCGTACTGGCCTAGTAGAGGAGGAAAGAGAAAGAAACCAGTTAGGCTGCTACGTTGACCTCATGGGTCCATTCTGACCCATCAGTGAGAATCAAGATGACATCCTATAATTTATAAACTATGTTGTGTTGTTTAGTTGATAAGTCGTGTCCGACTCTTCGTGACCCCATGGACCAGAGCACGCCAGGCCCTCCTGTCTTCCATGGCCTCCCGGAGTTTGGTACCAAATTCATGTTGGAAGCTTCGATGACCCTGTCCAACCATCTCGTCCTCTGTTGTCCCCTTCTCCTCTTGCCCTCACACTTTCCCAACATCGTTCGATCAAACCACTTGTAGTTTAATTATTCTCTTCTCCCCTTCCGTATATTGGTAGATGGAGATTATCACGCCTAACCCACCTTGCGATGGGATGTAGTGGTATTGCAAGATGTAGGTTCTCGCTGTAATGGGAGAATGATGAAACCCACTGGTGGTTTGGGTCAATCTCTCTCTCTCTCTGAGCCTGACATATGTCACAGGGTGATCGTGAAGACAAAGCATAAAGGACGAGAGCCAAGTCATGCCAACTTGAACTCATGGGAGGATTAGAAGAACCGCCGCCAATCAGCCAATGCATACAAATCGCGACGGATCCAATGTCCAGTTTCTACGGACTCAAAGGGAGAACTTCGGAGGGAATTGGGGCCAATTTCTGGCCACTTTTACCTGGGAAGACGGCTTCGATGTACCACGTGGCCAGCCCGTAAAGGAAGGCGTCCAAGAGGAGCAACCCGCCGGAGGTGGCAAACGTGTAGCGGTCGCCTTCCACGGGGCTGGCGTTCACGTTGTGCCACTGAAGGCCGACCCCTTGCTCCTCGTAGAGGGAGAAGTACTCGCACCCAAAGCCGAAGGCCACGGGGGACAGAAGGCTCTGGATGGAAAAGAGGGCGGGGGAGAAGGGCGTCAGACGATCATGACATTTCTAGTGGGGTAGAAAAGAAAGTTAAGGCCCTCTCAAGAAACAAGTATCTGCTGGTACCAGATGGGGAATGGGCTGCACGAGGGAGAGAAGGCACCTCTCTGTGGGGCTCTTACGGAGGAAAAAGGTGGCCTAGAAATATAATTAATTAGTTAATTAATTAAACCATTGTTGCCCCCTGCCTCTCTCCTTCGAAAGGACCCAAGGCAGGTCACGTCAGTCAAAGACAAATCTTTTAAAGCTGAAACACAACAGAAATGGAAACTCGTCCATTTCAAGCCAGGGCCACCATTCCTTTCACGAGGCCTGGATCCAGGACAGGATCCGAGCTGGAGAGGAGCCATTTCCCCATCAAAGCATTGCGCAAATTCTTTGCAACGTGCTAGAGGGGAGTCTGGATTCTCTTCCTTGGGGGCCAGCGCAAAAACCAGCCCTTTCGAAAAAGGGTCCACTGGGCACCGAGATGGCGGAGAAGAATGTCTTCCTCATCGCTGGGCAGCCGGTTGGGCTCAATTTTAGTCAAACCATCTATCAAGGTGAGAACACGCCGGTCAGACTTTGCTCTCTCCCCCCCCCCCATCTTACTGTTCTGGCTCGCGGGGGGGGAGGGAGGTAAACAAGCAGCGGGGAGGGACAGCCTCCCCGCACGGGGGACCCCGAGACCCATCCTCACCACAAACAGCCGGAGGGGGAACGTGATGTGGTCCCGCCAAGCCACGCAGAGAACGTAGGGCAAGTAGAAGGAGAAGTAGATGATGCCTCCACAAGCTGACGCCAGGTTGGCTCGCGAGAAGAAGGTGCTGATGAGGAAGCACTGGGAGATGGTGGCCACGGCAAACGTGGCCAAGAAGAGGAAGACCACGGCCGGGTCGCTATAGGGAAGGATGTCTCCGACCTGAGTGGGAAAAGGAGATTGCATTTCAGGACCTTGGTAAAAAATAAGCTGGTGGCCTGGACAGACTGGATCCTAGCTCAGCACAGCACCTGAATGGGCCAGGGCAACGTACGAGGGACACATGGTTTGGGAAACGACTCCAAATTCCAGGCACGGGGATCCCCGTGTCCTCGACTAGCCTATAACAAAGATTCAAAAGACATTCGCAAGCAAATCATTCCTGAAGACGGAGCCACCGCAGTTAAGAGCAAGAGCAGAAAACTGATCAGGTATCTGTTTCTCCAGACGTTAAATTCCCAGGAAGAAGAACAAAATAAAATGAAAAGTTGTTTATAACTCAATCTTTCACGTGGTTTCCCCTGCAGTATCCTCTCCGTGTCTCTGTGGACGTATTTCTTCCACCATATATGTGATTTTGAGTTTTAAAGAAACAAACACGTTCCTAGACCTCAAGGTCGGGATGGTAGGCTCCAGAGGATACGGCTGATTCAGTTTGGGATTTTGTCAGGGTCTGGTGCACAGCACGGGATTTGAATCCGGGATCAATTCCATCTTGTGGTTGCATTCAGATTTTGATCCCAGCCAGCTGCAAAAGCAAGGCCAGTGAGAATGCCAAGAATAACTCACCTTAAGAATAAGCACCAGCAAAGCTGCGCTGATAAGAAAGGGGATGAAGCTGCTCAGGAACCAGCTGAGCCACAAGGTGGCGCTGCTGAGCCCCATAATCTTCATGGTCTCCTTGAGGCGGGCTTCCTTCTCGTGGACCACCCCCTTGATGATCATCGCCACGGAGTAGATCCACGCCAGGATCATGAAGAGAGGCAAGGAGCGGTTCAAGACACGCAGGAATCTAGGACCGGGGGAGAGAACCCATAAAAATATCAGTCCAAGCACCACAGCACAAAGGCGTTTGTGAGGATGTAGCTACACCCTTGACCCATAGGAGGCGACCCTGCTTGAGGGCATCTCACGAGAAGACAGGACTGGAGATGATAGGAGGCGACCCTGCTTGAGGGCATCTCATAAGACAGGACTGGAAATGTTGTAGGAGGAGACAAAGACTAAACATGAGAGGCAGTGGTTCTCTAAACCCAATGTTGTGTCTCCAGATGTTCTTGGACTACAATTCCCAGAAGCCTTCACAACCAGTGGTGTTGTCCAGGATTTCTGAACAGGACTACAATTCCCAGAAGCCTTCACGACCAGCGGTGTTGTCCAGGATTTCTGAGCATTGCAGGCCAAGAACATCTGGGGACCCAAGGTGAGGTCTAAAGGAAATCACAGCTTTGAGGTATTGCAAGCCAAGAACATCTGGGGACCCAAGGTGAGGAGCCACCCCTCTAAAGGAAATCACAGCTTTGAGGGATCAAGACCTAAGCAGGACTCTTCACGATGGACCTTCCATAAAGTTGTCGTACGTCAGAAGACATCATTGCTTTCCCCAAGACTTCAAGGACTTAGAAACTCGCAGCAACTTACACATCATCAACATAGCACGGGTAAAAGAACATCTGGGGACCCAAGGTGAGGAGCCACCCCTCTAAAGGAAATCACAGCTTTGAGGGATCAAGACCTAAGCAGGACTCTTCACGATGGACCTTCCATAAAGTTGTCGTACGTCAGAAGACATCATTGCTTTCCCCAAGACTTCAAGGACTTAGAAACTCGCAGCAACTTACACATCATCAACATAGCACGGGTAAGGCATCTGTTGGATGTAAATCCCGGTGCGATGCTGCGGAGTCGGCGTCCCGGTAAGAACCCGCACTACAGCTTGCTCGACGAGATCCTGAATGTAGACAAAACCGCCCCAGACGTACCGCAAATCACTGAAGGGGTCAGCGGCCGGTCCCGGATCCCAAAATCTGAGGAGAGGCACAAAAGAGGAAACAGGGTGAGGGCATATGAGACGTCGCAGGTGCAAATCCTGAACGACAAAGAGACGCCGCTTAAAGAGGAGCTGTGGGAAAGTTCTGCAGGAAGCTGAAGAGAACCTCAAAAGGTCCCCTTACCTGTCCTTGATCTTATTGGTACGAGTGACGTCGTCCACGTCCATCCGGATTTTGAACCGAACATGGGGAGGCAGGTCAGGCTCCCGATCGGTCTGGTTGTCCGGCAGGAGGAACACAACCCCGACCCAAAACTGCCGATCCTCCAGCAACTCCAGGGCCCGCCCGATGAGCTGATCTTCTGAAGCCACCGCCTCAATCTTGTTCAGAGACACGCACTAGGGGAGGAGATGTCCGAGTCAGCCTTGCCTGTTCGGGGGGCTCCGTAGCCCCGAGAGGGGCGTGCACCGACCGAGACACCACCCCTCAAGGCGCACCTCAATGAACTGGGACAGAGTGCTGATGAACCAGTCCACGTCGGAGTAAGCCTGGCGCCAAGTATAGCCTTTTCCATCGCTCGTGGGCGCCAAGAAGGTCCGCAAGGTGGAGACGTTCCAGAAGGTTCCCTGCAGCTGCTGCTCAAGGAACTGGGCCACGCCAGGAGTTGCCAGCAGGTTCTGTAGGGATTTTCAAAAAGACATCAGACATTTCTGTTTTCATTCACAAACCTGAACATGCAACTTGCTAATTGACCTAGTTACATAAAGTTTTCATATTTCTAGAATTTTAAAAAAAACTTCACTCACTTTTTAACAATACAGTAGGATTCCCCCATATCTGTGGGGGATCAGTTCCAACCACCACCACCCCGTGGATACTGAAAAAGGCAGATGATAGCAAACACTATTTTGATTTTAAAAATGCTAAAGGCAGATGATAGCAAACACTATTTTGATAAAAAATGCTATAAATAACATGGTCTCTAGCTCCTTCTAGTGGCCAGTTCTGGTAATGACATATCTAGTGAATCCTATACACAGCATGGTCTCTGGCTCCCTGTAGTGGCCAGTTCTAGTAATGACACCATGTATATTTATCTAGCATCCGCTATTTATAGTACTAGTGGCCAGTTCTAGTAATTACACCATGAATATATATTTATCTAGCATCTGGTGTCTGATGGCAGTGGTCAGTTCTGGTAACTTCATCACTAAATGCATATATATATGGAGGATTTTTCTTTTGATATTTTAAATATTTTCATATTGTGGATTAGTGAATCAGCAAATACTGGTCCCGTGGATAAAGGGATCCAATTGGACTGTAAGCTGCTACCAATCATAGGATTTTGGAGAAAGGGCAAACAAAGCAAAACATATTTCAAAGCTGTTCATTTATTAGTTTGGTTCATATCATGCCTTTCTCTCAAGACCAGGATGAAAGGCAGCTCCCGACATGATAAAAATCAAATGTCAATTAAAACAGATAAATACAAGTACAAACAGAGGGTGGGGGGAGGGACCTAAATCCGATTGTACTTCTCCAATAAAGGACAACCATAGAGGTTTTTACTTGTGTTGACTTGTATTAGAAATTGAATTAAAAGTTGTAACACTTTTAAAAATTTATGTTTTATTAAAATTCTTTTAATTAATTTTTAAAAATTGTTTTCATTAAAAATTTTAACGAAAATAATCGTATTGGAATTAGTTAGAACTTTTCTTGAAATTCAATTAAATGTTTTATTAAAATTGTTTTTATTAATTTTTTTAAAAAATTGTTTTCATTAAAATTTTTAACAAAAATAATCGTATTAGAATTAGTTAGAACTTTCCTTGAAATTCAATTAACATTATTTTTATTTAAAAATTGAATAAAACCATTTTTTCACATAAAAATATTTAAAAATATCAATTACCGTATTTTTCTGGGTATAAGACTATATTTTTGTCTAAAATCTTTAGACTAAAAAATTGAGGGTCGTCTTATACACGGAAGTAAGCTGAGGAGAGAACAAAAACAAGTGGCGGAGAAAGCAGGGATCAAAGCCATCCTGCATTGCTTTGATCCTTTTCCCCCTACACTTGCTAATCCCCACTTAGATTTCTTATTTTAGGATTAGAAAAGTGGGGGGTGCGTTTTATACATGGGGGTGTCTTATACACAGAAAAATAGGGTAATTAAAAGACTCTGCAACACCAATCTGTTTCAATACCCCTTCTCAGAAGCGAGGAAATTCCTGAATTTACAACTCGTCCCATCTTTATTCTCTTTCTCCACTGATCTTGGCTCGCCACCCCCAAGTGTACGGGATACAAAGGGCAGGAGGCACAAACCTGGATTGCTCCCAGTTCTCGACTGGTGTTCATGAAGGTGTAAATCTGGGGTCCCACTTCTTCCCAAGCCCCCCTGACGTCACGTAAGACAGCCAAGTTCTGAAATGTTCGGTTTACCTGCAAACAAAGGAATGGATCTGCTCAGAGACAATGGTCTTCAGATTAAGGGTTACATTTAGTGGAACGTGAGAGGTGGAACCATCGCCGGTTAAAAGTCTCAATGGGAAGCCCATGAACAGGTCCTGAAACAATGGTTCCCAATCTTGCTCCCCAGATGTTCTTGGCTGACAACTTCCCAGAAGCCTCCACCATCAGCTGTGCCGGCCAGGATTTCTCGAAGTTCTAGTCCAAGAACGTCTACCCTACCCAAGGGTCTAGATCTCTGCTTCCCAACCTTGGGTTTCCTTATGTTCTTGGATCACAACTCCCAGAAATCTTGGCCCACACAGCTAGCGGAAAAATCTCCTGAGAGTTGCAGTGCCAGAACATCTGGAGACCCAAGGTTAGATTTCGCCAGAATAACAGGGGTAATTTCTTTCTCTCCGATGAACAAGGTCAATGACATCAAAGTCCTCAAGCAGAGGGACATCTTTTCAACAGTGGGCAAGGCGAAAGTCAAAGGATGGCGCTCGCCCCATCAAAACAGGTCACTTCTGCAAGATCAGTCTCAGAAAGTTTTACCTCTGCCATTACTTTCTGCGTGGCCGGCGTGAGAGGGGCGTATAAGATTTTGCCAACAAACAGGGGCATAATCCCCCTCCACAAGATGCGCGAGAACGGATTTGATTCCAGGTTCCGCACCAAGTCCTTGCAGAAGGGGCCTGAGGAATGAAAACAAGAGATAGTCAACAGAAACCTCTCTTGCACAAAGGAAACGTGCCAGGCAGTCTAGTGTAGTGGTTAGAGGGTCAAACTTGGGGAAATCATTTAGAATCTGATGATAGAATCATGAAGATGGAAGAGACCTCCAAGGCCATCGAGTCCAACCTGCTGCTCAACACAAGAATCCAAATCTAAGTAGATCTGATAGTTGTTTTTAATTTTCATGCTTCTCTGCCCATATACCTTTATGACCAAGTCTATACGATTTTAGGACCCCCTCAATTGTACTCAAAACGTATTTCCCTCTTAAAAATGGCTGCTCGCACAACTCACTGGTGGCGTTATCCAGGGAGACCGTCTTGGGCTCCGAGTCGTTCTGGTTGAGGAAGCTTTTGATGTCGTGGTCCTCGTACCAGTTCAAGGAAGGGACCTTGACCCCTCCCCCTTCCGGGTGGCCGCACACCAGGCGGGATGCCGTTTCGAACGCTCGCAAGACGGTTGCGTTGGTTGCCTGCCCGGATAAAACCTGGAGGGCTTCCCGGAATTCCACAAAACTGGCCAGGGAGGAGACCTGGGGTGAGAAAAAAAAACAAGAGGAAGGAAAAGAACATCTGTCTTCATCCAGAACCTTGACCCGTCCTTCCCCCATGAGTTGAAAACCCACTTTTGTACACCTGTTGCATTCATGATGTGTAAATGTCTTACTGCATCCATAAGGTACCTTGACATTTAGCCCAGGCGTGTCCGACTCTAGGGCACGGTGCTCATCCCCGTCTCCAAGCCATAGAGCCAGCATTTGTCCGTAGACAATTTCCATGGTCACGTGGCCAGTGCAACTAGACACGGAATGCTGTGACATTCCCACCGAGGTAGTACCTATTTATACTAGCATTTTTATACGCTTTTGAACTGCTAGGTTGGCAGCAGCTGGGACAAGCGACGGGAGCTCACTCCATCACGTGGATTCGATCTTACGATGGTGGGTCTTCTGACCTTGCAGCACAGAGGTTTCTGTGGTTTAACCATCCATAGAGGGTGCCTATTTCTTATTTGGTCTCTTGCTCCTCCTTTCATCCAAGCTTCACAATCCAACACCCGCTCGGCCCCACAAGAGCCCGCCAGAAAAGAGCCGAAACGGCCAACGACAGTGGTTCCCAACCTTGGGGCACCCAAAGGTTCTTAGACTAACCTTCCCAGAAGCCTTCACCTGTACCGGCCAGGATTTCTGGGAGTGATAGTCCAAGAACACTCAAGGACCCACAGGACGGGCAATATACAAATACAGTTTTTGTCCAACTGTGTGCTGGACTCTGAGGACAGTATTTCCAACACAGGGTGCTGCAAAAGTTTATTGAGCTTTTTTGTATGGCTGTCGTAACCATGTCTGGACATCCCGGTAGGTAAGGGGCCTTAGGCATGGTTGCAAATAAGTCACAACGACATTGTGTATGGGATAAAGAGATCCTTAGGATGCCGTCCGTTACCTCCATAGCGAGCGATTCCACACCCCGGAGGAAAACCCAGAGAGATTCCACAGCCTTGATGAAGTCAAATGATCCGGACGTGAACCGTTCCTTTTGACAGGAATGGGAGGAGGAGGAAGAAAAAAACAAACGCTTGTTTAGCTTTTTAAATGCCGTACGGCGCAGGAAATTTAAGAAGAGCTGGCCTTGCCTGTGAGCCCTCCTGCCTCTGCCTCCCCTTAGGAGCTGGGTTTATCCAAGCTCCTCAGATTTTCAGAGGGGCAAACAATTTTTAACATCCACAGCCAGTTAGGGGAGTGGCAAAATCCCCTAAAATCAAACCCTTCTGTGTTGCGGGAGGAGGAAAAGGTGAGGGGGGGCAACATTTTGTTTGAATTCACGGTGGGTGAAACATAGTTCCTTTCTGTCCAGTAAAACCCTTGTATCCATGGCAGATCAATTCAAGACCTTGTGGATGTTGATAACCGTGGATAATAGCAAACCCTATACATGGCATGGTCTCTGGCTCCCTCTAGTGTCCAGTTCTGGTAACAACACCCTGGAAATACATATTCCTGATTTTTTTTTCTCTCCTTTTAATATGTTTAATATTTTCAGACTCTGGGTAAGTGAAACCACAAATCCCAATCTTGTAGATACAGAGATCCCACGGGATTCCCATAGGGGAAAAATGCTACAAAGGGGAAGGGGGAGAAGAGTCAGTAATGATAAATTGGGTGCAGGAGAATCGGGCTTCCTGGCTCTTCTGGTGGGGCTGGAGATCGGAGAGGGATCGACTCTTAAGACCACGTGCCACCCATGTTTAGCTCACTGAGAGAGGTCAATGTCTTTGGCAGGACCAAACCAAGGAGTGCATGCAATGTTGGTGATCCTCGTGCCCCAAAATCGGGATCCCACAGAAGCATGGGCCACATGCAGGCCAACGATCACACCGTTCTCATCTTACCGTAAATACTTTGACCCAGTCCACCTGGGAGAGGAAACTGCGTTCCAGCGCCTGGAGGGTGGATTCCGGCAAAGAGCACATCGCCTTCTGGAGGTGCTCAGCAGACCTGGCGTCCTTCACCACCAGAAATTCAGAAAAGACGGACGGGCTGCAAACGATCTGGTTCAACGGCTGGCCAGCACGGGAGAACTGGGAGAGGAGAAATAACGACGTTTCCGGGGCCAAGATGGGATTTTGAACCCAGGTCTCCCGAGTCCAGTACACCATACTGGTGCCCTCAAGATTCTCATCATCTCAAACCCGCCCCCCCGAACCTTTACTCACCACACGGAGGTCAAGGTGGGCGCCCAGAAGTTCGTCCACCAAGGCGGGCGGAAGGGAGGTGTTCGTCCGGAGGAACTGAGAGAAAGTCTCGTCGTTTTTCAGGTAGGCCTTAACCTGCAAGGCTGGAGGAAGTAGAATGAGACACACACACCCCAAATCCTGAGATTCCTACACCAAAGAGGAGGGAAGCAAGCAGACCATTTGGAGTGAGCCAAAATTTGGTGATCCCAAACGAGTCCCACAACCCACGGTGAGTCCCGAAGGACGACCTCACTGAGGGTGTCTACATGACGGTTATTGGGAAAGCCTTAAGCTGTGACGTTTACCAACCTGCAGAATGTCAAACAAGTCCTTAGAGACCTCACTTAAAGTTTACAGAAACGCCCACAAGAGCTCTCGCCGAGGAATCTACTATCCCTCAGCAAACGATAAATCGCAAGATCTTGTAAAGACAGATCTCTGGGTGCTAAACCAGTATGAACCCACTTCAACCTGCAGTGGGCAGCAAAACCCCCTTATCTGCTGGATCAGTATCCACTGATTCACTTATCCGCAGTCAGAAAATATTAAAAATACAGTATTAAAAGGAAAATAATTATGACATTGCCAGAACTGGCCCCTAGAGGGAGGCTTTACTATTAAAACATAGCCTTTACTATTAAAACAGTGTTTCACATTTTTCAACATCGGAGGGGGGGGGGTTGGAAGCAATATCCCATGACTATGGGGGTCTTACTCTTGAATGTACAGGAACTTGCTTCATATGAATTCTGATCTAGTTGATTTGGGTCAATGCTGGTGGGTTGGGTCTCCAAACTTTCCAGAGACCTGCCCCAGCAAAATGTCACCCATTGCAAGGGATAATGGGACTTGTAGTTCAGGGCAGCTGGTGGGTCTACCAAGCCCCAATCAAAACATGGCCAGATTAGATCTAGCCAATGGCAAATTGCTCCTTTGGATGTGGTTTTTTAACTCTTGTTGCCAATTGTTTTAAGAACAAGGGACATCAAGTGTCTCTTCACAAGACCCATGGTGGCTCTCAATATATTAATTTCTCCTTATATAGGTTTCCTCTCCAGCAGTGTGAAACCCTATATAAGGATAAATGCAGGATGGAGAGGAGATAAATAAATAAATAGATGCAGTTGGACCCTCACACCCACAGGATCGGTCTGAAAATATTAAAAATATTAAAAGAAAAAACTAGAAATATAGTATGTATTTTCCCAATGTATATACCAGAACTGGCCACTAGAGGGAGCCAGAGACCACACTATCTATTCTTCAACAACAAGAACACACAAGCATGGCCTCTGGTTCCCTCTAGTGGCCAGTTCTGGTAACTACCTGGTGAAAATATATATTTCTGGATTCTTCTTCTTCTTTTGCCTTGCTATGCCTAACATCCACTATTCTTCACACTTTTTGTATTTTCAGGGAAGCTTGGATCCAATACACTGAAAGCACAGGAGCCCTACTGCAGATAAGGTGTCATGGCTGTAGCCTGGAGAATTAGGGAATGTGCAGACCCATCATTTTTAGATTTTTCTGATAAAGAGCAGCAAAATGTTCAGGCCCCATGGCAAATGCCACCAGGGAGCATTCATTTCTGGAGGGAATTCAAACCTGATTCTCACCCGAACGTGGATCGCTTTGGTTGCTATGCTGGAATAAGACGGCCGAGAGTTGAGAGAAGCTGCTTCGGATCTGTGTGTCGTTCAAGCGATGGAGCACCTTCCGAGCATCGGCCAAGAGACGGGAGAGGCTACGAAGGGGAGGAAATAAGAGAAGTGATCGCTCAATTACCCCCCCAAACATATGTGAACCCACAAAATCCATCAAGCCGGTTCACAGCCAACGGTGACACTTAACCCCAAAACAACATTCCTGTTGAAATATAATTTCAGCAAAAGAGCTGCAGGCAAATCAGGAGGCCTAGAAAAACAGGAATGTGTGGATTTTTAAAAAACTTGAGCACCCTCCAGTAGCCTGAACTTGGGGAACCATAATGGGGGAATAAATAGGGTTTTCTTTTTAAGGATCTGGGTTTTTTTCCCCCTCACCAAGCAGCCTAGGAAATAATACAGGACATTTCTCTAGAATTTATGCATAGAAGCACATACCCCTCTCATGCTCAGAGGAGACTTGAAATTAGAAATACAGTTTTTAAAAGATAACACCTGTATTACACAAAGCAAGGAAGAAATCACATCTGAAGTGGCTCACATGGAATTGTTGAAATTGTCCACAATGCCTGGGGTCTCTCCGGCCGTCGGGTACCGAAAACAGGTGTTGTTGATGTGGCAGAAGAGAGACTGAATCCAGGGGAGAGTCCCAGCCGATGGGAGGGCCTTGTTCGAAAAATGACCTGGATGGGAGAAAAGTGGAAATCGGAGGGGAGGGGAAGGGGGCTGACTCTTGAGACCAGGGGCCACCCAAGCCCTCCTCTGTTGAGGGGATTATGGCCTTTGGTGGGACCCAATCAAGGAGTGCTTAGGACGTGTAAGCATCCTCTTACACTTAAATGGGATCCAGCATTAAATGGCACGGCTCAATCCGTGCTCCCAATCACATCACACACACTCTTCCAACTAACCCCGTAAACCCTGCTCTGGGGTCTGGATAAGCCCCTTAATTTTGGATGCCCATTTTTAAAAACCACACTTCAATGCTCGTTCTACTGGGTTTTTATTACTGGCTCTTACAGGTTTCCACTAGAACACACTCCGTGTCTCTCTGGCCACCCTTAGGAGCTGTTCCCCCAGGAACAGGATTGGGCCCTCCAGCTGCAAAACAGATGTTTGCTCTGGATTTCACCTATATATATACACATCGCCAAGGGTTTGAGTTATTTATCTGTACTGGTTCCAAGTCTCTAGCCAGAAAAGGCCTGGATGCGAATTTTCGGTTACCAAAAAAAGGGGGGGTTTGATCTGGTTGTAAGACCTGCCATGGCCAGGCTGGCAGGGGATAATGGGTTTTATAGTCTGACACATACAAAGAGCATCACTCTTCTGGCACAATTAGACGTCTCTTACCTAGAAATAAAGCTTTTTTTTTAAAAAAAAACTTACATTCATGTTGTTCAAATGGCGGGTTTGACCGACGCACAGACACAAGGATGAAAAATAAGAAAAGAGGCCACAGGACTTCAACAATCAGTTGTAACTGGAAAGCAAAAGAAACATTTAATGGCTTTTTAAAGGAGAAGAAGGAGCCAGGGATGTAACCGCTACAGCTTTTAGAGTCTAATATACCCACTCCGGGTTTTGGTCCAAACTGCAAAGGTGCAAAAACCCGGGAGGGATTCCCTGCACCCCTGGAAAATCAGTGCCAGTGAACAAAAGAAACTAACTCAACACGATGTTTGGGGCCACTCACTGTCTGTCGACGGCGGTAGGTGAAGTTTTTCCATAGCAGCAACGCCAGCTGGATTCCAAAGCCCATCATGCACAGGGGTGGGGGTGGTGTCCTTGCCCCACAAAGGATCCTCTTTTACTGGCTGTGCATCAGGTCACCTTAAATGCAAAGAGATAGTGTTCATATTCATTTATTTTTTATTACATTGTTGGTTGTGGACTGAGCGGGAATGAACAGATGACATTAAAAGTCGTGAAATTCATCCGGAAAGACTGTTCAAAGGAACCTGTTTGAGAAGCACATCAAGTGCTTCCTGGGATAAATTCACATCGAAACCAAACATTTGCCCAGAAAGTTTTAAAAAGTGGAAGCAAGATCACATCACTCCAAGAATCTCACTCACTAAAATGACTCAAGTACCCTGTTTCGAGCACACATCGTGAGAAGGCAAGAGTCACGGGAAAAGAAAGCAAGGAAAAGCAGAGGGCCGTAGGGACAGAGGCGGACCAAATGTGAGATGGCTCAGTTCCATAAAAGAAACCATGACTTTTGAGTTTGTACGACCTGAGCCGGGAAGTTATCGAGCGGACTTTTTGGAGGTCCCTCCTGCCTACGGTCTCTGTTAAGTCGGAAGAATCTGGATTGCACGTAAATAGCAACACACAGCTCATCCAGAAACTTAATTTCAAGTCCTGTCCACAGTACAGGTTTGGCTTTTTTTTCAGTTCACAAAACAAGTTCTCCTGCATCACAGATTCCAACATTGAAATCCTATGCCTTCGACTTAGGTGAACACTTTGAGAGAGAAAAACACACACATATTTTATTATGTGAGCTTTGGATTCAAGAGAACAAAACTTTTCTTTCTTCCCACTCCGAGTTAAGCTACTTTTCTGTCGTTTTATCCTGCTTAACTTTTTTTTTTTACCCACATGGGTGGGTTTTGCTGTTCTTTTGGAAGTGTGAGAAGAGGAGAATGCCTCAATTAATACATCTAGCCTGATATATTCATTAAGATCTAGATAACATCTGTGGTCCGACTGCCTTGAAGAGCAAGTATTAACAACACAGTTGTTAAAAGGCGTTGATTGGGGAAGAAAAAGGAGAAACAGATTTTCTGTGATCTTCCACAGATCACAGAATATCACTTTGCAACTCCAAAACCCATAATCCCCAGCCACTGAGCTCCTTGGAGGGCACAAGGTCAAGGGAGCCTGGTTGACTGGCATCATCCGATGGAACTAGGGGATCAGCGTTCAATGCCCTCATTGTTGGGTTTAATTAGCCAGCCCTTTGGCTAAAGGGGAACGAAGGATTTCTGAAGCTGGAGAGACCGATATTAAGTCGTTTCCTTGGAGGAGGGAACCTAATAATCTCCTTAAGGAGAGGCTAATCTTGAGAGCGGAGGCCCAGTTTGGTGAAAGCAAAAAAGAAAGGTTCTTCCAAAGAAATGCCCTACTTCGTACACTAAGCAACAAAAAACAGAGGGGTTGAGGAGGGAGATTCAGTTTGCAGGCTTACTGCGGCCCGCTGTTCCAAAGAAATGCCCTACTTCGTAAAAACCAGAAGGGTTGAGGAGGGAGGTTCAGTTTGCAGGCTTACTGCTGCCCGCCGGGGGCTCCCCTCCTGGCCCAGCTTCTTTGGCCCTTCTCTCTGACAGCGATCAGAAATCAGGCGCCATTGGGAGTCTGGGATGGTTTTGCAGCCACGTGCGCTCTGGGGAGTAGGTTTTAGGAAGGTTTGCACAGAAAGGGTTTGCAGGCGACTGATGTTTTGCATGGCGCAGAAGGTCAGGTTTGCAGACCCCAGGGTTGTGCATACAGATCTGGCTCCCCGGTTTGCGAGCTGCCAAGGTTTTGCACAGAGAGGGACCCCTGGTTTGCCGACCGAGAGCTTTTCTTTAGCACAAGGAGGAAGTAGGTTTGCAGACTTCAAGGCTTTGCATGGGACAGTCGCCCTGGTTTCCACAGAATAAGACTTCCAGTTTACTGACCGGCCCATTTTTCTTGGCACAGAAGTTCAGGATTGTTCCCAATGGAAAGCCATTAAAAGGACTTTTATTAAAAATTAATGGTAATATAATTTCACACACATTCCCCGGAGCAGACAACTTCATGGGACCACAAATCCATGCGTTCCTCACTCTTGTTTCATGCTGGCCAGGCCTGATGGGATTTGTAGTCCAACACCCCTGGAAGGTCACACACCTTCCCTCTCCCCTTTTGGTCCCATTAAGGAGTTAGACTGGGCCTTTTCGAGCCTGGAAAGCATGGGGATGATGGGATCTGTGGTCCAAAAACATCAGGAACCCCTGCCCTTTGCATCTCCTGATCCAGAATTATTAAGATCAGGGCAGCTACAAAACCATCCCTCAATGTGGGCTGATCATGAATGAATTAGAAGAGATTCAATTCAGTAGCCCAAAACCCAAGGGATTTGAAGGGGATTTGCAATCAGGAACACCCAAAATGGTTAACAACAACAAAAACTATACAACAAATGACAGGTCATCTGGGAAGTTCCATGCCTTTTCTTGAACTCGCACTTCCCGTGTCTTAGCCCCCACACTGTTGTTCAAAGCAGGTTCTGAATTCAAGTTCAGGCTTGCCTGAGTAACGCATAAATAAACATCTATTCCCCAAAGTGATGGTAAAAACAATCCTTCTTTTTCTCCTCCTTTTAAGTAATCAATAAAGCACTTTAAAACACACACACATGTCCCTACACTACCAATTGACTACAAGCAGAACCATAGCATTAAATAGCATTAAATCAAGATTTTTTTTTTTAAAAAAAAGTTATTTCCATTTGGGACTCTTCCTCTGTTTTCTGTGTCTGTGTGTTTCATTTTTTTGAAAAATTCTTTAAAAGCAGGAGAAAAAGAAATAAAAGCTACATGCCCTAGACATAACATCACACACAAGATTACATACATTATATATACAAGAATATATACATTACATACAAGATGCACCCACCTATAAGAGATGAACAAACACTCAGATGTTGCACTATGAGAGAGATTGTAACATATATAATATATAATTAAATATTATAGATATTATAATAGATATTATATTATAAAATATTGGTTATAACATAATAGTTCAAGTATATCTATAATGTTTAATTATATATTATATATGTTATAATATCTCTCTTATATATATTCATATATATACACACAGAGGGAGAGAGATTAAACAGCACTCCCATCAAGGTTATATGTGATAAATATATACACACTTTGCTACTTATTTCATATGCATCCATAGTTTGTTTTTATAGATACACTTGAAATAAGGTAGCAATTCTTAATTATAAGAGGAAATGCGATTGTTACCTTGTATCCCACTAAGGGATAAAAGCTAATCATCAGGCAGTTGCCAGAAACTCCGGAGCGATCAACACAGCAGCGGACTAGTTACTACTGACAAGTCACTAGTTATTAACGAGCCACACATTATTCCAATTATTTTTGCTTACCTGCCGGCTGGGCTGGGCTGGATTCTGCAGCCCTTCCGTTTTCAGGATCAGCTCCCCGCCCCGCTCCAAAATACATATATATCAATGTCACGGCTCCATTGTTTGCAAGTCAGCCTGGCTACAATGTAGCCCAACATCAAAGGCTGCTCCCCCCCTTGGCCCCGCCCCGCCGCCGGCCGGCAACGTTCCTATTTGGAACGCCGGCACCCCCAACGTTCTACAAGGCCGCCGGAGGTTATTCGAAGTCGTCGTGACGTCACCCGCCGCGCTCTTAAAGGGGGCGCGAGAAACCAAGCCATCGACCACCAGAGGGCGCAATGGCCTCCTACCTAGGCCATTGCAGGTGTGCAGTTCATCCAATCTACCGCCGGAGGGCGCCCTTGTCCTTCCTCCGGAAAGCAAAGCCTATTAAAATTGCATGCTGCCTTTTTCGGGGTGTAATTAAGCTCACATTCCACAAGGGGGCAAGAGGGTCCCTTCAGGATTTTAGGTAATGAATGATTTTAATTGCTGTTTCTCGGAAGCAATAATTTGGCTCAATTATGAGAGAGAAAGAGAGAGAAAATCTAGCTATATCTGGCGCTTCTGGCAGCTTCCAAAAGAACATTGGCTTAAGACTTTTCCATCAGAGGTTGGGGAAGTCAGCAATTTTGGACTACAAAACCCAGCATCCACCAACCAGCCAATTAAAAAGAGGACCACCAAACCCAACCCACCCCCCTCCAATTTCTCGTTCACAGAAAGTAATTGCAATAGATCATTGGTGGGGGGGGGCTAGGGAGCCACATAGGCTGGGGATGATGGGAGCTGGTGTGCCCAGAAGCCAAGCTTTCCCAAGGTTATTCCCAACTCATCAATGGGGCTCACCTTTCCTGAACATTTCTCTCTTACTTGGCCCTTGTGGGTGCCCACTGAAGATTTCTGGGTGGCTGTTTCTCCCCAATCATCAATGCCGTCAAGGTGTGTGTGTGTTTGGGGGGGGGAGTGTGGCCATGAAAATCTCCCCAGTATTTTTTTTAAAACCATAAAGGGTATCTCATGTGTTCCCAGAGGCCAGACAGAAATTCACTTTTTCAGTTGAGGGGAGCAGCTCCCATTGTCTCACCCCCCAAAAATTTCAAAATCAGAATCGTTTTTATCCATTTCCCCCCCTCTTGTGTTCTGGTCTCCTCTGGGCGCTGTGCATTTTTGCAATAAACGATGCTCAACATGGAAGTCAACCTCTATCATCTGCCTCCCCCCTCCTTCCCAATGATTCAGTATTTTCAGGCTTGGGGACACCCCCCGAGAAGCAATCTGGTCTCTCTTAGCAAAATCATCGGGGCTCTGCCCCGGAGACAAACAGGTTTGTTAATTTGCTTGGCTTTGACCCCCCCCCCATTGAAATTAGCCATTCTGTTCAATCCAGTGTTCATGCAAACCAGCCCAAACCGTGAGCCAGTATAGAAATCTGGATTTGCCCCAATCCAAAGCACTAACCCTACTAATGAATCTAATCAGCAAGAGGAATAAATGAAAGGAAACAGGTGCACATGGAAAGTCCAGTAATTCTTTAAAATGTTTTTGTACTAACCAAGCCGTGTAGACATAACAATGATCTATTGATAAATTATATTTCTACCTTTCAAGAAGCTGAAGGCAATGTTTATAACTCCTGTAACCAATCATAGACCCCCCAAAAAATCATGCAAGGTACGGCTTGGCTTTCAAAATGGGTTTGAACCACCCAATGTCTATATTCTGTGATCATCATCCTCCATGTCTTGTTTCATCTTTCCTTATCTCCTTGTTCCTCTTCTTGTACGGCTCTTGGAACCCATCAGGACATGCGCAGAACCAAAAAGGCCTTAGAAATGCCTGGAGATTAATCCATCAAAATTCAACACAGGGCTGGTGGAACTATCAGCCACTGGATTTTAAACCTTCCTGGATTAAAGTTTCTCCCCAAGAACATCAAGCTGATAGATCACAATGCGCCCAAAGAAATCAGTACTGTTTTCGAAGGTGATCTTCAGCTTCTCAAGCTGTACCTCTCCAAGAGGAAAGGTGTAAAAGGAATGGTTAAGGAAAAAGCTCGGGAAAAACACATTTGCCCCTGTTGGATTCGCCGAAAGATTTGGGGGAAATCCAGAGGGTTCACTTGAGTTGGAGAAAGTAAAAAAGGATATTTGGAGAGAATTTGTGTCTTCGGGATAGAATTCAGCCACCGGAAGAAGGCCTTCTCCTTTCCTGCCACCTTAAGAAATTAGAAAAGGGGAGAAAAGTTTTGGGTTAGAGACATTTTTTTAAAAGGATCAAATTATGTCACGAGAGGAATTAGCTTTCTCTCAAGATTCAGTTAAAATAGGGGGAAATTTCCCGGCATTGAGGGGCAGCCCACTGTTCTCTTGGAAGTTAATATCAATATACAGAAGAGGCTAGGCTTAAAAAACCCCACAACTTTCCTTTTCAAGCAGAGTTTGAATGGTTCGCCTTTATGTGTCCTTTAACTGCGGGCGCCCTGCAACACCGAGGGTTTGTCTAGATGACCTTTGGGGGTCCCTCTCCAGTTTATAATTCTATTACTGCTTTGTTTTTTTATCCCTGATAATAAGCTTCCCGTCTGGATCATCAACCTGGCAAGGGAGGCGCAGAAGAAGGACCGTATTCTCGGTCCACGCCAGGGTTCATTCTTCTTTTCCGAAATCTGAGCGGTTCGAGAGTGGGGGAGAAGTGACACCCCCACAGCCCCTTAACTGGGTTTACAACCACCGCAAACGGGGGGTGCCTTACCTTGAACTACACACTTCCGGCTGGAGAAACCCCCTTGGAACTGGATCTGGATTCGAGACACCTGGACGGGCTGTGGAAACTCCAGGGTCAACCACTGGGTGGAACCCTAACATCAAGAAAAAAAACAGCAAAAAAGGGGTTAAAACCAGATCTGACCTGTCTTTGCAGCTCTGAGTTGGGGTAGCCAGCCTCTCAAAACAGGGCGCCACCCTTTCAATTCCCATTAACATAGTTTGGAAGTCCATCACATGCTGTAATCAGTAATCGTGGCCTGCCTTGCAGGAGTGTTGTAAAAAATAATAATAATCTCAGAATAGTGGAGCTGGAAGGGACCTCTAAGGATCATCCAGTCCAGCCCCTGTCAAGGAGGGCCTGGAGGGGGAATCGAACTCCCAAACTCGGGCTCCGCAGCCAGGGATCTAAGCCATCGAGATGAAGGGATGCAAATCCACAAATACAACACCCTTGTGTTACCTGATCGGAGTTCCAGCAGGTCTCCTCGTTGCCGTCAAACATATATTTTTTCCCAAACTGTTTCGCCTCTCGGTTGAGGACGGAGCTCACCCTGGGGAACACACACACACACAAGGGCGACCCGATTTTGCCATAGAAATGGACCGCGTTGGAGGCCAGATGTTGGGGTATCCACGCCAACCCCCCCCGACTGCACGTGAAAATCTCGGGGATCCACATCAAGGCAGATCTGACTAAAGGTTGTCCCATTTTCTCTTGATAACCTCTAGAGTTGGAGAGCTCACCCCCCCTCCCCCTGAGGTCATGGGCTCCCGTTGCCATACTGCTCTAACAGTGAAGAATTTTTTCCTGCTATTCAGCCTAAATCTGGCTTCCTGTCGCTTGAACCCATTATTAAATGTTCTGCCTTCTGGGATGATCAAGAACAGATCCTGCCCCTCCTCTGTGGTCTTTGAAAAGTGTTATCCTGTCTCCCTTCAGTCTTTTTTTTTATCAAGGCTAAACATGCCCAGTTCTTACAGACAGACGGAAGGAAGGAAGGAAGGAAGGAAGGAAGGAACAGACAGACAGACAGACAGACAGACAGACAGACAGATACAAGTGGTGCCTCGCTAGACGATGATAATCCATTCCACTGAAATCGCTGTTTAGCGAAATCATTGTCTAGCAAAAAGCATTTCTCCATTGGAATGCATTGAAACCTGTTTAATGTGGTCCAATGGGGAAGAATCGTCATTGTCTAGCGAAGATTGTCCATAGGAAAGCCGCTTTGCCAACAGC